CAATCTTGCTGTAACAACTGGGAGAATTAGAGCCCTCATCTAGTACACACATGGGGGGCTGTAAATCCACAGGCCTACCAACCCCCTCCCCAGGCAGCACCAGCCCTAAGGGCGGTGTTTTCTCTCTCAGCTCAGCAGCATGCTTTATGTCCTTGTTCAATTATTTAAACATGCAATGAAACCTCTGTATAAAGCAGCCACTGACATGCTGGACACGGTGAATGGAAAAGCTTTCATACGTTGGCTTGCTCCTTCTGCTCCCCACAATTAGTGGGACCATCTTTCCTTCTGCGTGCATTTCAGTGAAAACCAGAATGTGCGTGGGGCCGGACAGTGGACCTGGAGCCCACATGAGCCACCTCCCAAAAGCCAAGACATTAAAGGTTTCCTTGCACCTGAAACCACTGCCACTCTCATCCTTCAGTTCTTCCAACTGCAAAATGTAGCCACAGGCAAAACATCCTCCAAGGGAATCTGATCCTGAATGTCTGCATTTGCCTCCAAATAATCTTATGAAATGAGGTTGCTTACCACCTCGGAGAACTGGCTGTTTCCAATGAGAGCTCAGAGAAATCCCTTCCTTGAGAAAATGAAGAGTATTATGTTTTTGAGGAATTCTGTATGGAGGTTAGATGATCATCTGGGGATACGAGTCAGTAAGATGACCAGGTGAAGATACTTTGTCCATTGTCATTGTGGGAACTGAATGAGGTAACTGATGTCCTTAGTTCCTTTATTGTGAACGTGGGGGTGATCACATGTGTTGGGCGGTGAAACGAGATAGCAAATGGGAAAGCACGTGGAAGGTAATGGAGGTGGCGGGATGTGCCCTGGATGGACTCCGTGAAACCCCTGTGCCATGTTAACTAAAATCATAACAGCATCACACACTGCCTGCCAGAGGCATACCGCCTGCCCGACTGTACCAGATTGCAGTGTGTCAGTCATTAAAAGATTACACTTCCCTAGCGGTAGGTAAAGGGCCATTTCCAGAAGGGACACCCCCACCACCACCAGCCACTCCAGCGTTCGTTCAGTTGGTCAATATTTTGAATGCCACACTTGAAACTAGTTGAGTAGGCACTTTTACCCCATTCTAGAGATGGGAAAACTGAGCTTTAGAAAGGCTATATAATGATGTGTCCCAGATCATCTATTGGGTTAATAATAGAACTAGGACCATACAATCCATTGAATCCGAAGCAGCCTCTTCGTTCCATGGCGGAAGAGATGCAGACGGTTTGAGGGACTTGCCCAAAGCCCCATGATTGTGGCAGAGTTCCCGTCTCAGAGCCTATAGAACATGCTGCAGCAAGATGTCCCTCCCAGAAGAGGGGGCCACTGTTAGAAGAGCAGTGGACAGACCTGGGGCCTCTGTACCCATCTCCCTGTGTTTGGGGCACTTGGAGCTATTGAAATTGTTAAGTGCAGAAGCCTAGAAGGGGTGGGAAAAGCTGGACAGTTTATGGGACACTCTCCAACCCCACCAAAAGCCCTTTGGAGGAAGAGTTTTTAACCCCCATTTAGAGTTAAGCTAAGCCATGATTAGAGCCCTTTCAAGGCTCTGAAATGAGCAGGAGGAAAATAGCCTGGTGTTCAGAGTTCAGAGACTCCTCAATCAGGTTCTTTCTAGTTAAGGATGCTGAGAGGTGATTGTCTGAGCCCCAAGCCATGGTGGAAGGACTTGGAAGTGAGGTCTTCCGACACGAGTCCTAGAGAAACAGGGAGGTTTCTCTGCAACCTCCCATGAGCATCAGACATAGCAATGGTTTTATACCTGGAATCTCCGTGTGAGGCAGGTCAGGATCTGAGGCCCTGGGGTGGGAGGAGGGAGCAGTGTGGTGGCCATGGTCCCTTCATGCCTTGCCACCTAGGGAAAAATTGCCATTTTACATTTCAATTAGGAGGGACACTGGGGTCAATCATCAGTGCCACCAGAGGAAAATGGGCCTGGCCCAGCCCTGGGCCTCTCCAATTATTATTAATGAACTTACTCTCAGACCTGCCAACCTTTTTATATGCAAACTAGGTCTTATGGGGCCACTGGCAATCAGGACTCATTAAAGAACACGAGCCAAGCCTCCCTGAGAATCTTATGGGGGAACAGGGGCTTGTGTGTCTGCCCACATCCTAGACTAGAAGCAGCCCAGCCCCAGAAAGGTCCCAGAGCCCACAGGATGGTGTGGCAGCTCAGCAGTCCTGCGGAGCTCAGGGAGATCCTCCCAGACCCACCAGACCACCCTGAGGTGGTTCCGGCCCACCAGCCGGAACTTGCCTCTTTCATTAAGCGGATGAAAGATGGTGGGTTGGCATTCAACTTCTTCAGCTACCAGTCTGCGGTTACTGAGCCATTACATTTCCTCTCCCTGCCTCAATGTCTCCTTTGCAAAGTAGAAGGGATCCAATAGGTTGGTCCAGAGAACTTCCCAGATTCCAGACACCTCCTGAGCATTGTTCATGGGCAGTGACATTTTGTCGTAAGAGATGGAAGCAGGAGATCCAGGACTTCTCGTACTCCAAATGCAACCAGAGACCCGGCTCCCCTAGGCAGACGTTGGATGGAGCAGGAGGGCCGGTCAGGCTTGTGCATGGGGAGGGAGAGGAGAGCTGCCCAGGGCTGCAGGCAAGGAAAGAGTGCAGGTGGACCATCAGGCTTGAGACTCCCTGCTTTTCGTAGATCTTCTCTCTTGCTTCTCCAGCTTCACACCCCTCCTGCTCCAGTCTTGAGTGTCATCCTAGTCACTAAATCGTTCTTGTCTTCTCTGTGTCCTGTCTTTCTCATCTTGCTAGGGCCAGGGGGGCTGAGGTAGCAGCCAAAGTGGGGGCACAAGATGCAGCTGCTAAGATTCTGCATGTGCGACCCAAGGCCCTGGAGACTTGTGCACTTTAGAGTCTCGGGACCAAGTACTGGGTTCAATGCTCTGATCCTTCTCCCCTCCTTGTTGCTCCTCTGTGTTTTCATTTATTTTTAATTGTGGAAAAATCCACACATGAACCTTAACCTTACCATCTTAGCCAGTTTTAAGCGCAGTTCGGTGGCGTTAAGTACATTCACACCATTGTACGACCATACCACCATCCATCTCCAGAACTTTGTCGTCTTCCCCAAAACCAGAATCCCGTCCTCATTAAACACTAAGTCCCTATTTCCTCTCCCCCAGGAACCCCCATCCTATCTCCATAAATGTGATTATTCTAGGTATTTCATATGAGTGCTTTATTGTGATTGGCTTATTTCACTTGGTAGAACGTTTTCAAGATTCATACTTGTTGTAAGGTGTGTTAAAATTTCCTTCCTTTTAAGATGGAACCATATTCCATTGTAAGTATATATCACATGTGGTTTATCCATTCGTCCGCTGATGGACACTTGGGTGGCTTCCACTTTTTGGCTGTTGTGAATAACATTGCTGTGAACGTGAGTGAACAAGTATCTGTTCTAGTCTCTGCTTTCAATTCTTTTGGGTATATATCCAGAAGTGGGATTGCTGGATCTGCCTCTCCTCTCTTAGCTGCTTTGCAGAATAAAGCTACATGCAGCCTGAAGGAGAGAAGGGATTAGTTTAATGGGCCCAGGGCTCTTGCTCCCCTATGGCAAGACTCCACAGTAATCAGGAAGGACAGAGGTGAGACCACCCCAAATCATAGAACCAGAACTGGTAAGAGCCGAGTGGGTCCTTGGATTCCATCTGATGGACAGATAAGGAAGTTGAGTCTCCAAGTAGGCATATGATGAGTTCAGGGTTCCATAGCTTGTCAGGAGCTCAGCAGGCATGAGAGTGTGGGTCTTCTCCCTCCCGGGTTTCCACAACAGAAGGGGCTCGTGTTTGCCTTCAGACCCAGGAGGGGGCAACTGCCAGTTGCTTGATTGCCTAAGACCCTCCAGTCTGCCATCCCCCTGCACCCTCTCCACTTTCCCCTGTCAGGGAGGAGTCCTAGGGTTATAGGCCGGCAGCCTCAGCCAAAAGCAGCATCCCCAGGAAGGATGTATGTGCCGTGCCTGAGATGGCCAACCTGCCCAGAAGTCATCTGTCCCAGCATGCCCCAAACAGCACCATAACAGGAGTAGTCTGGGGGATGGGGGACCTGACTGACATGGGGGGCCCAGGCCCTCCCTGTGTCTCAGAAAGCCTCACTTCTGCCCATGCCCAGTCAGGCCCTGCATTACTGACTCTCTTCCACCCAGGTCCTCAGAGCTCAGCTCCGTGGTAGGTCCCACCTGTGGACAGAGAGCAGAGCACCCTCACTCTGTATTTGGCCCCATTTCCCCCCCAGCCCTTCATGGACAGAGCTTACCATCTCAGGGGAAAGGGCCTAGTCATTTCCTCCATCCCCCAAGGCTCTCTGGGCCCCATTCAGTTTGAGGGATGACTATGCTCATTGTAAGCATCCAAGAGGTTCTCCATGTACCTGCTCAGAGGGGCATTTCTTTGGGGTCAGGCCAGCTGCAGAGTGCAGTCAGAAGCTTCTGGATTCTAAAAGGTCTCTGGGACTCATATCTGAACATTCCCAATTGCCAAATCTCAGCCATGTATGGAAGACCCTCCAGGGCCCTCCTGCTGTGGTCCAGACTCACATTCTAGAGCTAGGGCCCAGGGCTCACTGTACAGAAGCTCTGGTGGGTCTTTCTGTCCCAACTCCTGGCAGCCTAGGTCTGAAGCACAGGGGTCATCGGCCCAAAGTGGGACATGGGACACCCAGCAGCAGAGTCTGTCTCTGCTAGGGTGGGAGGGATGCTGAGAGGGGGCAATCAGGAGTTCAGAGTCTGGAATGTATTAAAATGGAACCCGAAGAAGGCGGAGGGAGAACCTCAGTGAGGAGTGGCCTCCAGACAGTGACTGTGGGATCTGGGATTTCTCGGACCTATTCCCTCCCACATAGAGGCTGGGGATGGGGCAGCAGTGTCTAGAACCTTCTGTGGGTATGTCCGAGGGAAGGTGGAGCAGGACAAAGATCTAGGCTGTGTCTGGAGAAGCTCCTGCACCTGCTCTCTGTTCCAGGACTGTCCCCAGCTGCTGCGAGTGGACAAGATCCTGGTGCCCGTGGAAGTGATTAAGCCCATCACTCTGAAGGCCAAGAACCTTCCGCAGCCCCAGTCCGGGCAGCGCGGCTACGAATGTGTTCTCAGCATCCAGGGCAACGAGCAGAGGGTGCCCGCCCTGCGCTTCAACAGCTCGAGCGTGCAGTGCCAGAACACGTCTGTGAGTGCCCGCGGTCCTGCCTCCCCCAGGCTGCCTGAGCCCCCGCTCCGCCCCAGCACTGTTCTTTTCGAGAGCCCCGTCAGCTGGGCTCTGCAGGTTTCCCCCAAACACCCACAGCACAGTCCAACTCTCTGCCTCACTGCTTCCTCCAACCCCGCTTGCCCGGCACAGTGCTGGGCTCTGAGGTCACCGCGTGTCTGCCCAAGGCAGGGGCCGCAGTGGCAGGAGCTTTGGGACCAGCCATGGGACCGCTGTTTGTGGCCAGAGGTATTTGCAGGGCGTGTTAGGCTCCAGGAACACCCGTGTCCGTCCCCCTTCCTGAGACGAGCTCTGGAGTCCCTGGGCCCTGCGCTCCTACCAGAGCTGCCCTGAGGGCCTCGTCGGGGCCCGCAAAGGCCCACTGCTACCTTTACACCTGCACAGAGGCCGCTCCCAGCACAGAAGCCTTCTGAGACCAAACACGTGCAAAGGGAGCAGTGGAACAGGGTGGAGCTAGCTCAGGTCAGCACAAACCTGCCCGATGTTTAGAAAATCCACGTTAGGTCCATGCCCGACCATGACAGGCCAGCAGGCCCCGCTGCCGACGGCCTTCGCCTGACCCCTGGGTACCTCGCAGTGTGCCCTGACTATTCCTGTCCCGCTGCTCCTCTCCGGACCTTGAGGTCTTCCCAGACACCGCTCTGCTCTCTCTCATTCCCTTTCTCCACACCCAGATGCTCAAAGCTCATGAGGCTTTTAGACTCATAGTATTTTCAAGCTGTAGTATTAATAGTATTAATAGTATTCCTCACTGAGCAAATGAGAAACTGAAGGCCCAGAAGCAGGGGCAGGTCTAGGTTTGTGGGCTGAGACAGATCTGATCTGGGGGACCTTCTTTTAAGAATAAAATGTAATAAACACAAAATTAAATATATAGGCAGGCCTGAGAAGGGGCTGAAGGTCCACACACCTCAGGGTAAGTCACGCCTGCCCAGAAAAAAGCAGTATGTCTAAGGTCACACAGCTAGCAGGGGGCAGGGCTGGGCCTGGATTCAGGTCCCCTCCTATGTCACACTGCCTCCCATTCATCCTTCCCATTGCTGCTGGGTACTTATATACGGTGACTGTGTTTGGGATGCGATGTAGGGGCAGGGAAGTCCTGGACAAAGCGGTTCATGGGAGCACCTCACTCTCCCTGCAGGAAAAAGTCTGGGGGTAAATGGAGCTCAGAGAGGCCCACATGCTTGCCCAAGGTCACTCAGCAATACAGGGATGGAACTGACAACCGTGGCCCAACCTCTGAAACCCCAGATGTGTCCCCACAGCTCTCGTGCGCACATCCCCCTCCTGTCCCAGCAGCCAAGGATCCTGGCAGATTTCTGCAGCCTTCTGGATTAAACCTGCAAGCAAATGGAATATTAAACACCTCCTGTTTTCTCATAAATCCTGAGGCCAACCAGACTGGCCCCAAGGGTTTGGCTCAGTGATTCTCCCCCAAATAAGTGAGTTCCTGCAGGAAGAAAAAAGTCTAAGCCCCATATGTGAGTCAGTGGAGGGCAGATAGGGGTTTAGACCACAGAGAAAAGTCTACTTGGTCAGAGACACTGCCCCAGGGAACCTGGTCTCAGAGGTGGCAGGAGGGGCTCTGATGATTGAGACCTTGTTTTCCCAGACACTACAAGACTCGGCCTCACCAATCCAGGGCTTCATCTGGCTCTGTTAAATAGACAAGAGCACCCTTATAGCAGCCTGAGTTCATCCTACAAACTCCGTGGTCAGAACTCAGTACCTTGGGACCCACTGCCTTTCTATCCTGCCTACTGGCTTCAGCACTCCTGAGCAAGGCCTGACTCCCTGAATGAGCCCACTAGGGGTCACATTGTCCTGACCAAGGGGGCGCAAAGTCGGAGCCTCCGGGGAACAAAGGTGTAAAATGGAACCCTGACAAGTGGTTGGGTCACCTCCAGGGGGTACCTGTGCCGGCATCCTGGTCAGTACCAAGGAGTCAAGGAGAGGCACTGTTGGACATCTGATGGTCTGACGTCCAGTCTTCAGGATTCACAAAATCTGCTGGTCACATATAGCTCCTTAACGCAGGAATTTCACATCTGGAAGCCTGATGCCCCAAGACACAATGGTCAAGTCCACTTCCAGCCCCAAGGGCCAACCCCCCAGCCCCCGATGGGGTTCTTGCCCAGTTGGCTGGCTTCCTGAATGCAGGGGCTCAGACAATTCACATTCCAGGAGACTTCCCACATCCCCAGGACCATGGTGGAAACATGACGTGGGGCTTGGAGGCCTGGGGCCCGAGGCTCTGGTCACCAATGAGAGGACATGGTTTCTAGGCTCCTGGCACAGCCCCCTGCAGTCCCCGTAGGAGCTGGGGTGGGTGCACCCTGAACTCTGGCACCTGGAGCTAGGAGTCTGTCTGAGGCCCCCCAGCCACTGGGGGCCAGTAGGCAAGACCCAAAATCGCTGCTCCAAAGCAGCTCAGCCTTTTTTATTTCAGTACCTTTATTTTCCTCACCTTCGTGAAGAAGGTGATGGGAGAGTTTTTTCTGTACCATGTTAAAGTCTTAAAAACTGAGGCAACAGGAGGTGTATCCCATAGAGGGTAGGTTCCAGGAAAAGTCCCCCGTAGGCTCCGCTGCAATTGTGCATCCAGGAGGGCTCAGCTCTGACCTTTCCTAGGAGCCTCTGTTTCTGTTCAAGGACCCCAGCTGAGATGCTGATCTGGGCCAGGATGCCACTCGCCCATCGAATGACTTCCTAAAAAAACTCTAGGGTCATATTCAGGGGCAGGCCTCCTTTACCATAGTTACAGTGCTATAGAGGACAACATACTATTAGGGGAGGAATAGACCTCAGGGAGGATGTAGTAGGATCCTGCGACAGAGGGCATCTCTGAAGCCCAGAGAGGCCATATGACCAGCCCCAGATCACACAGCAAGTAAGCAGGGAATTCAGAACTTGAATCCAGCTTTACCACACACACACACACACACACACACACACACACACACACACACACACACACAGCCATCCAAGGTTGGGCAAAAACTAGCAACTGAGCACTTTGTACCCAGCCTGGGTGCAGTCCCTGGGAACAAGGTCTGCTGTGCCTCAGAGAGGACTGTGGAAGGAGGCATGTGGTTTCACTTCCTAAACCCCTGAGTGTTCTGGAATTGGGCGGTGGGGTGGGGAAATCCAATAAAAAGCCCAGGCTTGTGATGGCAGAGGAAGGGGAGGTGACAAAGAGGTCTCAGAGGAGAGCGGAGAAGGAAAAGTAGTCTGAGAAAACTCCTCCTGGCTGTGAGGTGACAGCAGGTCACCTCCAGCCCATGTATCAGGGACAGTCCCTGAGCCCTGAGGCTACATCGCTGTAGCCCTGGTTGGGGTGAGGGGGTTTGTAGGAGGAAAACAGGGCAGCTCACAGGCAGTGGTTGGAGGCAGGAGCAACTGTGAGTATTCTTGGCCTCCTTTAGACCAAGGCTCCAGGGAAATGACAAGCACTGCTAATAATAATAGTGCCCAGTACCCGCCTCTCAGTCACTGGCAATCACGCGAGCCAGTGGCCTCAGCGGGCAGCCAGCTCCAGGCCCGGCTTCCACAGACCCGCCATAGCGTCCCATCTTCTCCCCGTGTGCCAATCCACCCCGTGCAAAACAAAGATGGAGAGACCGGGTTGGGGAGGGAGGTAATTGGCCCCCTCCCTGCTTTACTGGAACACGGCTGGGTCTGCTGAGCCCTCTGGGGCTCTGGGGTGGACATGGAGCACACACATGTTCCTTATGTCATATGGATCTGTCCACCCGAACGGTAGAATTCGTCAGCGCCCTATCTCAGAGCTCAGAACAGGGAATGGTTAGAGGAAAGACCGTCCAGATTATACAGGTCTTGTCTTTGCTTTACAAGGTAGAGGTTCACCACTTTCCCAAGGTAATGAGCAACGTCATCCCCTAGCTGGGCTGTGGTGTGCCAGACCTTGATTGAGACACTTAACCTCCTGGCCCCTGAGAGCCTGAAAGCTCTGGGTTTTGTGCAGATTAACTGCCCGCTGATTACAGAGAGCTCTATAAATGCTAAGTGCAGCAGAGGTGGGGAGTCCTGGGGGATGGGAGCCAGTGGTCCAGACTCCCCAGCTGTGGGTCCCCTCCTGCTGCAGAGCTCTGATCATGGGGAAAGAGCCTCCAGGAATGAGAGTGACCTCCCTAGAGACAGAGGAGGTGAGGAGGGAGCACCCAGGGTTAATGACTTCTCTAATATTTAATCGTCAAGATCCCTGGAATGAGCCATAAAAAGATAAAGCAATACCCGGCATAGCTGATCCTTGAAGCCTTTCCTTTTCAATCTTCCTCGAAAAGTGAGTGCATGTGAACACACACATGCGCTCCAGAACCCATAAGCATTCTCCTATGCACACATCTCCATATGTACCAAGTGTCTGGCGCATAAACACTCAATAAAAGTCTGCTATTATTACTTCACATAAACATAAACATAGGGAACACAAACATATTTTTGGACAGCATCCCCAAATGGAGACACACAGACCAAAACACACAATAATACTTGAGTGCTCGTTCCACGTGACCGGCACTGTGCTCAGAGCCACGAGGGTTGTTTCCCACCCCCCAAAGAGTCCTGTTAGGTCTGTCCTGTTTGTGATTCCCACTTTATAAACAGGGAAACCAAGACTTACGTCGCTGGCTCACATTCACACGGGTGGGCCGGACAGAACCACTCTGTGGCAGTGCGCGCACGGATGAACACACAGCTAGTACGGGTTTGACGCTGAGCTCTTCTCAGGTGGGCTGTGTGTGAACTCGTTTGTGCACACAGACACATGCGTGCGTGCATACATAAGCAGAATTTCTTGCCTTGCTCTCTGGGGGACTTCAGGGCCTGTAGGTTCTCTTGATCTTTGGCTGGCAGGTCTCTGATCACCACTCGCTGCTTCCACATTGAATCCTGACTAGATCCGGGCCTGAGACGCAGGAGCCAGGCTTGGATCCTGACTTAGCTGGCCCGCACCCCCTACCCCTCAGCATCCATCCTAGAGGTAGAGGCTGGAACAGCCGGAAGCCAGCCTTTGCACCTTTCTTGCACTGGCGCCTAGGAGGAGGGAGATGGGAAGGGAGAGAGGAAGTGGATCTTGGCTGGAGGCTGGGCTGGGAGGGAGATCTGGGAAACTGTTTTCTCCCTCTCCCCTTCCCTACCTCCTGTCCCCCACCCTCTTTTGTTCCTGCACACCTCTGATGCACACACGTCCTGCAGGGAGTGGGGATTCTCTAGCTCCCTGCAACACCAGCGTCACTAGGGTGGCTTGTTTGAAATGCATCCCCAATTTCCAGTCCAGCAGGTCTAGGGGGAGGCCCTGGGATCTGTGCCTAGGCCCCCTAAATGATTCTGATGAATGGGGCCCACAGACCACCCCGAGAACCACCAGTCCAGAGAGGAAGAGGTTTTTGTGAGAAAGCTCGGGATGCCTTAGAGAGACCTAGCCTGGCCCAGAAGCAAAGAACAAAATCTCTGGGGAGTTGATTACCACACTACATGGCAAAAGATTTGAGTCACTAGCTGAGTTGGGCGATGATCATCAGAGTCCCCACTGTTGTTTCTGCAGGGCTGGGGAGCTTTGCTTTGTTCTATGGCTCGAGTGCAGACCTGGGCCCGGGCTCCGGCGTCGCGGGTCACATGGGCAATTCTATGGGAGTGCGGATGGTACAGTGCAAACCACTGTCACTTTCAGGAAACACTGAACGTGGCTCCCTGGTCTAGGCATGTGGCTCCCGGGAGTTAGTGAAAACTTAGGGGGTGCTAGGGTAGAGCCTGAAGAAGACTGGATGCCATCCCACTTGTGTATGAGGACAGCGTCACGGCCTGTTCACATTGGAGCACATGCTATAACTCAGGAGTTTAGGGCAAGTCCCCAGATTAGGATCACAAACATCCCCTCCATGAATAGGCTCCAGAGGGGGAGGCACCAGGACAGGCCCGGAGCCCCTCCCCAGGCTGTGTGTTCCTGAGGTTCTGCAGCTGCCCTCCTCTTAGTGAGGGAGCTAGCAGCTAGCTAGTCCGAGGAGGGAGCATCAGCTGCCTCTGTCAGACCCATCAAGACCCCCATGCCCCAGCCCCTCCAAACTTCAGCTAAGTTGAAAGAGCCTTTGGCTCTGCAAACACCACTTCACACCAGGTCTCCTGGGCTGAACCCCTCTAGCAAGATGCAAGCCCTCAGCCCCTCCTTTACAGAAAGCCTATCTCAGTTCCATTCCTCCATCCACCCCCTGTGGAGGGCAGAATCTGGTGGAATAATGAGAAAATCACCAGGTATGGATTGGAAATGCTGCCCTGGGCAGGCTCGGAGTTCCTGCCACCTACCCTCCCCTCTTTCTCTGGAGAGTAGGAAGTGTCTGCTATCAGAAGGCGGCTTTGGGGTGTGGGGGCTGGCACCTCCCCCTTCACCCTCTCTTCCCCCTCCCTCAGCACTCAGTCCCAGGGCCGACCCCAGCCAGGTGGGGCACTGATGCTGAGGAGGGCAGGGCAGGGAGGCAGAACCCAGCGTTGACCCCTCCAGCATCCCCGCACCCCCTTGCAGGCCTAGAGGCAGCTCCCCCATGGGCAGCCAGCCACGGACCTGAGGCCTGGCCTCTTTGAGCCAGTGGGTGCCTTTGGAGTCTTGGCTCAGATTCCCAGGTTTGGCCGCTAGGGTGTCCAGGGTTTTCCCACCTCACCTCTCAGCCCCACCCAGCTCTCCTCTCTCCTAACCTCCCTCAACTCAGCCCCTTCATTTCTGGTGCCTGCACCCTCTACCCCTGCCTGGGGATCCATCAGCCCTATCCAGGTCTTTGATAAAGCACCCACCTCCTCGGAATTTGCCCTAGAAATTGGAAGTTCCCAAATTGAATCAAGCGCCTGGTGGGGCCTAATGGCAAGGTTCCCCTGGGCAGGGATGGAGGATGCTGGGAAAGCCCAGCTGTGAGCCGGCATCCATGGGAGGGGGAGAAGTCGCTTGCTGTAATCTGCTCAGGGAATGCACATTCCAAACAGTCTCCCATCCAGGCCTCACCCCTCCCCTGCCTTAGTATCCTGCCCCCTGCCCCTACCCGTCCCCCAAGGCACGCTTCCCCGAGTGTGCACCCCCGTATGCACTCAAGCACATATATAGCAGATCCTTAGGCCTGAGCACTCCCGGGGTCCCCAGGCTGAAGAGCCAGCTCTCCCTAGGAATCCCTGTGACCCAGCTTTCTTCTTTCCTACCTGCCGCCTGGCTGCAGTACTCCTATGAAGGGATGGAGATCAACAATCTGCCTGTGGAGTTGACAGTTGTGTGGAACGGGCACTTCAACATCGATAACCCAGCTCAGAACAAAGGTGAGGATGGTGGGCCCCGGTGGGGAGGCAGGACAGAGGGCAGGTGTTATTCCATCCCGCCCCCACACCCCAGGGGTGGGGGTCCCTCTCTCTCTGGCTCCGAGTCTGCCCTCTACACCTCTCCCCTGCTCCGTGACCTCTCAGGTGTGGGCCCACTGTGGGCAGTGGCTCTGGGAGCCGCAGGGTGAGTAGGACTGGCCGCAGGAGCCCTGCTGTTTCTGGAGGGAGCCCCAGCTCCCCGTCCAGTGGCGCGCCAGGCCCCGCGGTTCTTTTGGTCTCCTCCATGTCCGAATGGCTAAAGGAACAAGGCTGCTTGTGTCTCAGCATCCGAGATGGGGACTGCACTCCTTGTCCCCAGGCCCACCCCCTCCTGCTCCGCCTCTCACCCCAGAGTACCTCTTGCCCCCCCCCCCCCCCCGCCGCCCGCAGTTCACCTCTATAAGTGCGGAGCCATGCGAGAGAGCTGCGGGCTGTGCCTCAAGGCGGACCCGGACTTCCAGTGCGGCTGGTGCCAGAGCCAGGGCCAGTGCACTCTGCGCCAGCACTGCCCCGTTCACGAGAGCCAGTGGCTGGAGCTGTCGGGTGCCAACAGCAGGTGCACCAACCCGCGCATCACAGAGGTAAGCCTGGGCCTCGGGGCCCTCTGCGTGGCCTCGGGCCCTGCCAGCCATGCGTCGCTGAGGCAACAGCCACCACGGTGGTTGGCTGGCTGGGGGCGTGTTTGTTTTCCTGCCCAGTTTCCCCAGAAGCCCAGGGTTTGGTCCAGGGCTGCTTCCTTACCAAGGAAGGTTGAAAACAGAGAGGGGCTCAACTGTCCTGTTGGAGTCTCCACGTGAGCTGTGTCAGAAATGACTCCAAGTCCTGGCCACTCTCCCTTTGTCTCTAAGAGTCTGAGTGATGAGGCTGTTAAGCTCCATGGGGGGCCACCTCACCAAGCAGTTAGTCCTGAGCAGAGGCTGGGCGCAGCGCCTCTGGAAGTGGAGAGGCTGCAAATGGTGAGACCCTAGGACTCACTCAAAGCAAGACCTAAGCAGAGAGATGACAAATGACAAATGGATTTAGAACACAGTTCAGGAGGGCCCAGGGGACACAGGCCCTGGAGCAAAGAGCAGTGAGGGCCAGGGCAGAGCTAAACATGCAGAGAACAAGGCTCGAGTCCCAGCTCTGCTAGCTAATTGCTGGGTATCCCGGGGCTGATTTATCACCACCTTTATGCCTCAGCTTCCTTACTGTGCAACAGGTCTAAGGTTCCATCTCACGGAGGAGTGACAAGGACTGTCGGAGAGAACCATGCAGATTGCTGGCTCCAGGCCCAGCCCAGGAGGATCTCGCCATCCTCCTTGTCCATCATCCGCATTGTTAAAGCTACTCCCATCCATGTCTAGGCCAAGGGGATCACTGCCCCTGGGGTTTATGTAGGTCACCTGGTATCTCCACCTCCCCACTCTCAATAGAGAGACCCCCTCAGGCACCACCTCCCATGCTCCCCTGGTATATGTGCTGCCGAAACGAGCACTATGCTCCCCTGGTAAAGCAAAGAGGAGGCATGCATGTCTCAACAGGGGGACCCCCTGTACCTCTAGCACAGCACACCTTGCTCGTTGTAGGTACACAATGCCTCTTTGCCACAGTGGATGCTGATTTTAATAACAAAGCAAAAAGGAGCAGAGACAAAAAGAGGAAAGGAATCTCAGCCCCGTCTCCGTACATAATAAGTACAGATTGGTATTGGCTCTGTGCAAGGTTTCACAAACACACGTGTCTGATAATCTACTAGTGACTGCTACAATAATAGGCAAATATAGGTGTGCAAGATATTTTCAGTTTGCAAAATATTTCCACATCCCTTATTTGTCCATCCTCACAGCCACCCGGACATATGATTCCTAGGGTTGTCACAACAAGTAGCACAGAGTCAGTGGCTTCAGTGACAGAAATTCCCTGTCTCTCATTCTGGAGGCTAGGACTTGAGACCCAGGTGTGGGCAGGACCGGTCCTTCTGAGAGCTCTGCCGGAGGACCAGCTCCGGCCTCTCTCCTGGCCTGCAGCCCACCATCTTCTCCCTGAGTCCCTTCTCGTTTGCTTTTCTGTGTGTCCCTATCCAAATTCCCTCTTTATATGAGGATGCCAGTCCTGTTGGATTAGGACCCACCAGAATGGCCTCATTTTAATTTGATGAGGTCTTTAAAGACCCTTTCTCCAAATAAGGCTCTTGGAAGTACTGAGCATTAGGACTTCCACATATGGATTTGGGGAGGACACGATTTGAGCTATAATGCCTGCCAAAGCCAGGGTTTGTAGCCTCCTTTCCCAGATACAAAGAGCAACGTTCAGAAATATTAAAGTCCCGGGATTCCCAGGTGGCTCAGCGGTTTAGCACCTGCCTTCAGCCCAGAGCGTGATCCTCGAGTCCTGGGATCAAGTTCCACATCAGGCTCCCTGCTTAGAGCTTGCTTCTGTCTCTCTCTCTCTCTCTCTCTCTCTCTCTCATAAATAAATAAAATCTTGAAAGAAAGAAAGAAAGAAAGAAAGAAAGAAAGAAAGAAAGAAAGAAAGAAAGAAATGCTAAAGTCCTCTCACCAAAGCCTAAATCAGACAGGTCCTGAGTCCCAGGTGTCTGGATTGCTAGACTAGTCTCTCTCTCACCACAGAGGAAAGACACTCCCAGATCTATTCCCTCACCCCTCCACTCACAAATGCTGCACACACACACCAGGGATGTGTAAAAACAGGTAGGGAGCCTGACCGGTGTGAGTGCACAACTTCCTCCAGCAAGGCAGGCCCTCAGCAGTGGCCCTCTGTATGTGTCCCCCACTCCGGCCCCTTCACCCTCCACACCGCTGGTCTTCTAGACACAGTGAGGTGGCCTCAGCCTCTACCTCGGTCTCCTGCATGGGTAGGAATCTCAACAGCAATTCTCAAACTGGGGCAAAAGACATGCATTTAACCTACAGAAGTATCTGTGGAAGGAGAGCCCTGGGCCTGCCCCAGTCTCCCTCCTCCCCAGCCACCCCCTCCCGCAGAGCCCTTAACACGGAACCATTCCCAGGGGCTGCCACGCGTGACTGCTAATGGTATGTCTGCCGCAAACAGTGAGACTTGCTTTCTTCTTGGCCTGAGACCAAGAAAATCACAGGGAGGAGATGGCAAATTAAACAAATCTCCCTGTGACGGAGGCTATTTACTGGCTCCATACTGGCACTGGCCCTCCGGGGAGCCGGGGGAACCAAGGACTGGGCCAGAGATAAAGCTCCTTTTTCAGGACAACACGCCAGGGCTAGAATATCATGCAGCCGCTGCTGCCAGGTGCCAGTGGGGCTTTGGGGACGGGCTGGGCAGGCATTTGGGAAGAACATGCACTCCCCCTCCCAGCCCTCCCTACATCTGCCCACCTCCCTCACGCAGAAATGGGCTCGTGTCTCCAGGGGACCTGTCTTTCCACTGCGATGGGAACGTGAAGGTTTTCGCATGAAACCTTCACACTCACGTGCACGCTCACTCACAAACACGCATGGGTAAGAAGGAAATGTCTTAACTTGTAGGTGAATGGCCTTCCCCAGCAAGGCTGCCCCTCCAGCCTCGTTTCTCTTACTTCCCCCTCCCACCTTCCTCCAGGCTGGACCCCCCAGTTGTGACCTTTGGTGGTGGAAAGAGTAGGTGATGTTAAGAGGTGGGCAGTCTGGGCTCCTTCAGTTGTGATCCCATTGCCACTGGCCAAGATCCAGGTACTGGTGTTGAGAGACACCAGGAATGAGAAATGTGCCCTTCTCTGATCTTTTGGATGCCAGAAGAGGCTGGCACAGAATGTCTTCTACCACTAAGGTCACTAAGTGGGATGTCGTAATTAGATTGTGGCAAATGTCCATAGCACCTACCTCAAAACAGGCCCTGGGGTGTGGATTCCCAACATTTCAGTCATGAGTCAACACCAACAGTGACATCTCTGGAAGAAAAGCCTGTCATTCTGGCCAGTATATGAGGTGAAATCTAAATTAAACCCATCTCTGTTAGAAACCAAGCCAGACAATGAAGGCAAATGCTCCTCTAAATCCAGGAAGATGCTTGGGTAGTTGTGGTTTTCAACCCAATGACAACTTGAGAAATAGATATGGTGCCATCACTGAAAAGTCCAGAGGAAGTAAGACACTGTCCCTGCATCCCAAGACTCAGGATCTGAAGGATGAGGAATCAGACACAAATCACTGTACCATGAAAGGAGCATAAAATTTCAGTGGAGAGGGAGAACAACTGGTTATGGAAAAGTGACATTTGAGAAGGATCTTGAAAACGGGGTGGGCTGCCATAGTGTAGAGGGCTGAGGGTATGAGGAGGGTTTTTTTCATTTTCCTTCAGAATGGAACAGTATGAACAAATGCCACAAGGTTTTATTCCTTGATTTTCTATGAATCACCTGGTCACAATACGGATCACATTCCATCCCTTCATCTCTTCCACAAAATAGGTGAATGAGAGGATTTGAACACTTCTCCCAATACCACACGCTAACGTGGACTGCTTTACCAGAAGCTCCTGACATCGACAGTCCCAGACCTGGGTGTCCTTATAGATGTGGATCCAACCCAGGGAATCATGCAGAGATGGGGAAGAGCCAGGAGCCTCTGCCCCATCAGCAGGCGGGGGATGGCTCTGTCTTGATGCTTGTCAAAGTACCGTGCTTCTTCCCTCCAGATAATCCCAGTGACAGGTCCCCGGGAAGGGGGCACCAAGGTCACCATCCGAGGAGAGAACTTGGGTCTGGAATTCCGGGACATCGCCTCTCATGTCAAGGTGGCAGGTGTGGAGTGCAGTCCTTTGGTGGATGGCTACATCCCAGCAGAACAGTAAGTGGGAGCCCCGCGAGATGGAGGGAGGGATGGCTATGTGTTGATGACTCACCTCCCCTGGCCAACAACTGGCAGCCAACAGCACACAGTGTTAGAGACCATTGGGGTGCGGGGAATAGAATGCCCCTAACATTCGAGTGTCCTCCCCAGCCCTCCAACCAGCTAGCTGCCATATTGGCAAGTGTAGAAAGGGGTTGGGGACATGGGGCCGAGAGGGAAGAGAAATGTGATTGCTGCCTCCTTGGGGCATGGCCGTGACGAAAGCAAAATTAAAATCTGTAAGAGAAACATGAGTTTGGATCCCTACCACTCCCCCTGCTGCTGTTCCTTAGTCCTGACTCGTGTCTTCCTCCAGTTACAAAAGAAGCTCAGCCTCTGCTACTCTCTGTGGAGGCTGAAAATGAAACTCCAGACCCACTCCATCCTGTAGGTGCTTTTCTCTTTATCTCCATGCCAAGTCATGGAGCATGGCGTGGGTCATTCCATGAGTGACCTTTACCTCCCAATCCACCTGTTAGAGGAGGTTTGTGAGTCATGTATCATTGCCTTGTAAATAAGTAAACACAATTTTCCAGCCCAGCAAACACACCCATGAAATGCACAGCACAATCTAGCTTTCATCCTATTTTGCTGCCCCTCCCAGAGTGACACCTTGCCACTTGACAATTTTTAGGTCTCCCTGAGGTACATCAGTGGAGTTTACCTGTCCGCTTGCTGGGTCTTGCCCAGATTTCGTGATTCTGGAACCATCAGTACCACCATCCTCAATTCCCACTGATTTCCATCCAGAGCTTCCTAAAGCCATCTCAGTAGACCTTGTGATTGAAGGATCTACTCTTGATAGAATTCACCTCCCTTGTCCTGCATGGCTTATTTGCCCAAAGATGTTTCTGTGGCCCCTTCAACTTTTGGAGTACTTCTGAGGACAAAACCAAAGCCAGCTGCTACCAAGCTGTTGTGATTTGGGGAACTTTAAGATGCCCTACTCCAGGCCTGCATAGCCAACTGGAAAATATAGGATTTTAAAGTCACGTGATTGAACTATTGCAGTGCTAGTTAGATCAGCGGATTAAGATAGAACACCCAGAAAAGAATTCTGATATGTAAAAATTTAGTATGTGATAAAGGTGACATTTCAAATCAGCAAGGAAAGCAAAGATGAGTTAATAAGCAGAGCTGGTTAACTCTGCAAAAAAAAAGACAATATCAGACCCTCATTTCACATTATACACCAAACTAAATCCCAGATATATTAAAGAATTAGGTGAAAAAAATAAATCTGTGGAGTGATTAGAATTTCTTTGATTTCAAGGGAAGTATAAGAGCAAAAGAAAACAAGTTATAAAGATGAGGGGATCTGAATGTCTAAAACCTAAAATTCGTACATCAAAAATCATTGTAAACAAAGAAAAACGTGAGCAGTAATCTGGGACTACCGTTACATCTTATGACAGTTATTATGTGCTTTTTTTTTAATATACAAAGAGGTTCCATAAATAAAAAGGCAAATATCACAAAATGAGCAAAGAGCATGAAATGAGCATGAATGTGCAATTCACAAGACAAAGAACCAAAAGTCATGTGAAAAAGTTAAATATCATTAGTAATCAATGAAATAAAAATTAAAACAATGGGGGACAATTTTAAAAAGTTAATGCCCAGTGCAGATGAGAAACATGAGAAATAGCACACTCATACATTCATACTCTGAGGGTAAATTGGGACACACTTTGTGGAAGGCAATTTAGAATGTGGATCAAAAATCTTTAGCCTGGTCATAGTGTTTCTAGAACTTTCCTTAAATAACCAGAATGCACAAATATGTATTTGCAAGCACACTTATTTTGGCCTTATTTGTAACAGTGGAATATAGAAGCAATTTACATATTTTTAAGTAGGGAATTAATTAATTCTTAAATCATTATACATGCATAAGGCATTAAATTATATAGCCATCAAATCTGATATTACGGGAGAATCATGACCAGGCATATGCTCCAAGTGTATTAGCAAGAACATCATTCACTGAGCAGAATAGAGTTTCTCATTAATTCTGTAAAAGGAAAACAAGACTGAACACATGAACACCAAAATGTTGACTGAATATTTCTGGGTGGTTCAAATGGAGTGGGAGGAAGTGTATGTGCGGCAAGCATTTTTATGCACTTTCTCTTTTTTCTTTATCCTAAACATGTATTCATTATGCTATCTGGACAGAAAGGCATATATTTTTTACCGGACTGTCACCCAGAAGTTCTTTCTTTCTAAGAGAGACCTGGAAGCCCTAAAGTAAAAGAAGGAGCCCCTGAACCACAAACACTTTTAAACTTCAGTGTGGCAAAGGACACTATAAAGAAAGTGGAGATACAGGTGGCAAGATGGGAGAAAATAATTGCAATACTTACTAGAAACAAAAATTAATACTCCTCATTCAGTAGCTCCTACAAAAAAAGACCACCCATTAGCAATATAAAGAGACAGTCTTCAGACCAAAGGAAAAGCCATCTAAGATTTTTTTTTTTACAACCGCACACACATACTTGCAAATATCTGCAACATCACTAGTGATCAGGGAAATAAAAATGACAGCAAAAAAAAGCGATCTTTTTTTCCTATTGGAAAAACTTTCAAAGGATTGATAATATCTAGTGTTAGCAAAAGAGTGAAATAATCTCACCCAATTGCTTTTGACAGAAGCATAAATCAGTAACGACCCTTTGGGACCATTATTTTCCTCTCCCTATCAAACTTCACATACATAAACAATGACCCCACAAGCTCCCCCCTTTGGAGATTTATTCTAATGAATGTGCAGTGCTTGAGGATATTGCACATATATTAGTTGGTTCATTTTGCAGGTTATCTGGAGTAGGAGAAAAATCAGGGTAAGTTCAATGTCCATCAGTAGGAGGAGGGATACATAACGGTGCAGCCACAGCCACAGCGTGAAGTGCTATGAAGCGTTCAGAGAGGATCCCGTAGGGCTGTGCGCGCGGCAACACAGGGCAAGTCCACGCTGTGCTGTGCAGTAAAACAACAGGGGTTTAGGACAGTGGGTAGTTAGGTTTCACTTTTATTTTAAAAGTCATGTATATGTTTATATATGTATGTTTTATGTAATTGTACACGTGCATGTATATAACACTACGTGTGTGCGTGATACCAAACACACACGCGCACACACACACGCACATATACACATATCTGGGCAAGTTGCCTAACTTTTCTGTGCCTCAGTGTCTTCATTTGTAAAATGGAGATTTTATATATATTATATATATTACATATGTTTGCAGGGATCTAGAGAAAGCCTATGAGGAGATAGATCTACATATGAATACCAGACTTTTTAAAAGAGATTAAGAGTGAAGAAAGGGGCACTTATTTTTACTGTCACACTTCTGTACTGTCTTGTTTTTGAAGGGTGTGAACAAATTTCATAATTAAAACAATGAACATTTTTAAAAAGGGACACATCTCCGGCTCCCCTCCACGCCCCCCCACTCCCCACCCCCCAGCAGGAGTCTCTCCTCTCTGCCAAGTGCCCAGCTGGGGCTGGGGGCAGAAAGCACTCCACGGAGGCAGTCCATACAGTAGGAACCAAGCGGCCTCGGGCCAAGGTCTGAAAACCTCAAGTGTCCTCCAGGGTCCCTGTCTGACATGCTGTGGGCCCTTGAGAAGGTCACTACCTCTCTGGCCCCTGCCAGCCCTGTTCCCTGAGCTGTTTGGCTGAAACATTCCCCACTCTCTGATTCACAGAAGGAACAAAATTATTGAATGAGGGACTGAGTGTCTGGGGTCAGAACACTAGGGATCCTCCCCTGGGCTCTCACCTGACAGAGTCTCCATGGAAATTGCACTTCCTCACTGCCCAAGAACCAAAAAGGAGCCTTACAGGGAAGGATCGGGGTGTCTTTCTCCTCCCCGTCCCCTGCCTTGAGACCCTACCACAGAGAAGCGGCCAGGGTAGGCATGGCGCCCAGGGGTCCCATGTGGGCGTCCTGTGCCCCTGCTGTGACCACGGGGTCTGTCCTCCCTTCCCCGCAGGATCGTGTGTGAGATGGGAGAGGCCAAGCCCAGCCAGCATGCAGGCTTCGTGGAGATCTGTGTGGCCGTGTGTCGGCCCGAGTTCATGGCCCGGTCCTCACAACTCTATTACTTCATGGTGAGTCCCGGCCATTGGCAACTCGATCGGGCGCAGGTCACAGACGGCGTGACCATGGTTCTGGGCCCAGCTGGACCTCTGCGGTCAGACCCCAAGCAGCTCATGGGAGTCTGTCGTGCAGTGTGAGAGCACAGTCCTGGAAATCTGAAAGACTGGATTCAAATCCAAACCATGCTATGTCTGGCCCCGACTCCAGGGAAGCTGCTCTGGCTCTCGGGCCCAGTGTCCCCCTCTGGCTGAGTGGCAGTGTGTCTGGCCTGGGGTGTGAGCCTTAGCTCTGCCACTTATTCACTGGGCAAACTTGGGAGAGGTGCTTAACCTTCCAGTGTCTTCATTTCTAAAATGAGGGTGATAATACTTGCATCTGCCCCTTAGTATTGTGACAATTACATCAAGCAGATGTGTCACTTCTCTCCTCTCCTGCATGGTTTCCACTGTGCCCTGCCCTTTCTTGGTACACTGGCACCCCATCACTCCTATCCCATCATCTACATTCAGCCCCCCTTCTCCACTCCCCATAGCTCCATCCTATGACCTCCTTAATCCCACGCCCCACCCCACACCTCCCCTGCACCCCACTCCACCTTCCTCTAGCCACATCATTACCCTCCTTGCACACCCTTCCCTGCCTGTGGCCTGTCTGCAGACTCGGACCTCCACATTCCCTCCAGCCAGGACCCTCGCTGGCCCAGCAGAGGCCACCCCTGGTGAGGGGTTCTGGGGGGGACAGGGGCTCTCGGGACCTCTCGGGACCTTGGGCATGCAGGAGGCATGTGCTTCTCTGCTGCCCTGCTTACTGCCTCATTTTCAAAACTGTCTTTCCATCCAGTTAACGTCTGGGGTTAATGACAGCTCTGATGGGATACTTTCCTCATGATTACGAGCTGCTTTAGAAGCTGGGAGCCTGAAGTGATGGATCTTATGCCTGGGCATCAAATGCTCCAGAACACATCCCAGGGAGCCCACTTTTCACCCTCCCTCCTCCCACCCTCTGTCCCTCCTCCACCTTCCTCGCTCTCTTCCTCCTTTTTCTCTCCAACTGACAACCATTTATCACTTTGCACCATCCCTCCCACTAGATTATTTGATAAATATTTGCTTAATTGGTTGAATCTTATAATTTGGTGGCCCTGGCTCGTGGGTGTTCCAGGGATGATTCAGAGCCTGCACAACCCCTCCCCAGACCCCCATCCCCCACCGTCCAGAAGGAGAGGTAGGACGGAGGACGTGCATGCAGATGTGCCTGTGGTGGGGGCCCAATCTGGGAGGGATGTGCAGCCGCCACCTCCTCCCCCCACCGCCCTGTCCTCGGCTCCCTGCTCCACTCTTAAGAACCCCCCCTCCTCCTAAACCCGGTTGGCCGGAGCTGCCTGTGCATAACACACATATGGGATGGATTTAATGGATGTGTTGATTCAAATCCCATCTCTTTAGGATTTGTCCCCCCACCTTCTTTGGAAAGGCTTTCAGGAAGTTTCCGAGTGAAACCCAACACACCTGGACACAATCAGTGACACACGTATCCGTGTGTCTATAGAGAGACGCGGGTGTACTCTGTGTTATATGGATGTCTCAACACGTACGTGGTCGATCCAACTGAGTTGAGATACCGAGAGGAAGAGAGACAGAGATAGAGGCAGAGACAGCACTCCCCAAGTGTCTTCTTCCCCACTTCTAGAAGGACCCGGGGCGCTGCTGCCTTCAGAGGCTGCCTGGGCTCCTCGGTCTGACCCACCCTGTCTGTCCGATCTTGTTTCCCAAGGCTTTGCATGGCCTGACCCCTTTCGTCTCTCCATGTCCTTCCCCATGTTGCCCTGAGCCGTGTCCTCCTTGTCAGCCCAAGCTCTGCTCCTGAGCCTCTCAGTGCCTTCTCTGAATACACAGCCTGTGGCACCCATGGTGCCTGGCCCACTGGGGACTCCCTGGCATCTGCCCACACTGCGTTGGCCGTTGCCTCTCGGAGCCTGTGCTCCTCTGTTCAGACCCGCGAGTCTTTGGCGATGAAGCCCTGGCCGTTCCCTTCTTTGTTAGCCCCCCATGGTGCTTAGGCACTCTTAAACCTCTCCGCTCATTGGAATCTCCTGTGAGGCTTTAAACAAAATGCTCTGGAGCCCCCCTGAGCTGAGTCACACGCTAGAGGTGGGGATCCTAACTCAGCCCAGGCTGAGGACCACCGGCCTAGGAAAGACGGCACTTATGGAACAGATACCACATGCCTGTCGCTGACTGGTCCCAGGCTTAGTACTTACAAGGAGCCTGTGCAGTATTCAAAAGCTGCTTCTGCTCTCAGGTAAGGCCAGCCTTGCTTGCACTCCTGTTTCCACTCTGGAGCAGGATGCGGTTAGGTGCAGGTAACAAGGCAAGGCTTCAAGGAAGAGGCTGAGCATACAAGGAGGAATATGATGCTCCAGATGAACCTGGAGTAGTGGGAAGCGGTCCCTGGTGTAAGGTACACAGTGCACCAAAAGATGGGAACACAAGAGATGGAGAGGGAAGGGGGTTCATGAGAAGAGAAGAGGTCAGAGCACAAAGATAGGTCAGGAAAGATGAGAGCTGTTGACGCAAGGCAAAAATGCACTGGTCCAGTGGGGCTGTGAGACTCAAAGATTTGTGCGGCTTTTTTGGTTGCGGGATACCTCTGAGGAATGGTACTGGTGCCACATGTCTACTGAGGAGGACTTTCAGGGAGGAGTCACGATGCTAGGGACCTGAGTCCTCCACAGCCTCCAGTGTGCATCAAAGAGCCCAATCATTGAGGCTACCCCTGCAGAGCTCCTAGGGGGCCAGGGTGGGAATGGGGGTCACCCTGGTGGTGAGAAGAGACAGGAGGACCCTCTGTCATGCTCCCCAGCATCTCAGAGCCTTCATTGCCTTTCTGCTCCACTAGGCAGCTTGCAGGGGGCACACAGAAGCCCCTGACTCTTCTGGAGTCCTGAGACAGCTGGAGAGGCTGGAGACTTGGGGCACATTGGGGGTCCTTTTCCAGGGGTGCCTCTCAGGATCTGGAGCATGCATGGGAGTCCCTTCCCAGTGTTGAGGTTGGGAGTGAGGTTTGGCTCTAACTCCGTTTCCCTCCACAAATCAGGTCAGACTCTCATGTGTGGGTTTATTCACCCAGAACCCAACCGCCAAGGCCAAGGGATCAGCATTCTTGGTTTTGCCCTCAGATCTCCCTAGAGATCTCCATGGAGGGAAACTTTTCCTCCCCACCTCCCTCCGGGAACCAAGTGAAGAGGTGACAAAAAATACAGAATTTGATTTCCCGTGCAAACCTACCATGAAATACTTATGAAGCATGACTTGAATAATTAATAGTTTCTCACAACTTTAAAACATATCTCCATGTCATCCTCTGCTCACCCCAGAATAATCCCCCCCAAGCCTGCCACTGCAGAGCCAACAGGGATTCCTCACTTGTATCCCTTCTAGAACCCCATCTACTGGGGTGGGGGGGGGGAGATGGAGTCAAAGTCATCTATCTTTGACTCCATCTCTAGGACCAGCCTTACCTCCCGCAGACTATCCCTCTTTTTCCCCTCCAGACAATGGAGCAAAGGCATCATTTGTGGGAGGTGACCCCATTACAGAAGCAGAGAACCAGCAGGTGCCTTTGAGATAACTCGTTTTGACCCAGGTCTCTGATGTTATGGTCAGAGAGGTTACAGGACCTGTTCCGGGTCACACAGCAAGATCTAGGCAGAGCTAAGAAACCAGGGCCTCACCCCACCCTGGTCCAGGGCTCCGTTTGGGCCAGTAACAGCGCTAGACTGAAGCATGCCTTAGCTTTGAGTGCAGGGGGATGCCAGGCTCGGGCTCTGCAGGGACCCGGTGGGCAGCAGGGCATGTGGGCCCTGCCAGCATGCAGGGTAGACACTGTGTGCAGCGGTCAACAAGTCGCCCAGGCTCCTTCTCTCCTCCTGAGGTGTTAGGAATGGAGGCCTCTCCTGGGGAGCAGGCCTGCCGGCTGGGAGCCCAGTAAATTCAACTTTTGGTGTGGAATTCTTTAAGGGGTCAGGGAGAGAGAAATCTTCATTTTTTTTTTTTTTGAATACTTGTATACCTGTGTTTATTTTTTTTAATTTTTTTCTTTTTTATAAATTTATTTTTTTATTGGAGTTCAATTTACCAACATACAGAACAACACCCAGTGCTCATCCCGTCAAGTGCCCCCCTCAGTGCCCGTCACCCAGTCACCCCCACCCCCCACCCACCTCCCCTTCCACTACCCCTAGTTTGTTTCCCAGAGTTAGGAGTCTCTCATGTTCTGTCTCCCTTTCTGATATTTCTTCATTTAAATGCAGATACAGGCTTCTCACCTGGGACAGTTTTTTCCATTAAAATGCTAATGAAAGAACAAACCACAACTCCAAATCCTCAGCTCTCAGGTGCCCATCCTCACCATCCCATCCTCACTCAATCCACTGACCCTTCTTGGCTTCTCTTCCTGGGTTTTCCTGGGGTCCTCAGGACCCACTGCTCTGGCCTCTGGGTGTTTGGGCAGCTCTCTGGAAGAGCCAGTCCCGTGGAAGGAGCAGATCACCTTCTCAAAAACAATTGAGGAGATGCTAGAGAGCCAGAGCTCTGGAGTCAGATCTCAGATGGGCCGCTTTTTAGCTGTGTGAATCTCTTCTGTAAAATGGGTACTAACACCTACCTTGTAGAATGGATTGGGAAAATAAATTATATGGACATGGATGAGGAGATAAAGCCTGCCAGTTAGACCCGCAGCACGCATCAGCTGTTATTATTACTGTGATTATATAGAGGTGTAAACCCGCAGGTCCAGAATGTTGCTTCTGCGCACAAGCCCAGTAGGACTCCGTGGGCTCTTTGGGAGGCCACTGTTACTGAGCAACTCCGGGAGCGGGGTGCTGCCCCTTCAGACCCTGTCCGGTCGTGTCTCAGGCCACATCCTTTCCTACACAGACGCTAACTCTCTCGGACCTGAAGCCCAAACGGGGGCCCATGTCCGGGGGCACCCAAGTGACCATCACAGGCACCAACCTAAACGCGGGCAGCAACGTGGTGGTGATGTTCGGGAAGCAGCCTTGCCTCTTCCACAGGTAACGCACCTCCAGGCAGGCCTCAGGGGCTCACAGCCCAGAAGGTGGGGTGGGCAGGGCTGCCCCAGGGCAGCAGGCGGACTTCCAGGGCTCACTCACCTCTTGGAAGTGCTTTCTCCTCCCTGAGAAAGGGGCCCTTGCTTTGAGGGAAGATGGTATGGGCATACCTGGCTGTGGGTGTCTGGGGCTCAGTCTGGAACCCTGCCAGGCAGCCCTTCCCTAGATGGGCCATTCATGCTGTTGCCTCCCATTTAGCCTCTGTGCCCCGACACCGACCACCGATACAGAACCCTGGGGTTCCATGGACACACTTGGGAATCTAGAGCCCCTGCCCCCTGCCGCAGAGCCAGCCAGGACTGCTGAGACCTGCCAGGGGCCCCCTAGCCCAGCTGGCTGAGATTGAACGTCCGGAGGGCCGCCAGCTCTCTCTCCCCTGGTTGCACCATCCAGACTCAGGAGGGCACGGCCTCCATAAGCCAGGCGCCTCGGGGATAGCAAGGAGGCCAGGGCTTCATCTGATGCAGGACTCAGGGACGTGGTGGGGATGTGGCATTCCACACATGGTTCCCCGGGGCCAGAACCATGCTGAGGGCTGCGATAGATCTGAAGTCAGGCCAAGGGTAAAGAAAAAAAAATTCCTTCTGACACTTGCTGAAATAGGAAGGAAGAGTTTATTAAGGACTATTGCAATGGGTGTCAGAAAGGAATAAGGCTTCACTCCAAACATGCCAAAGACAGCTGGGGATTTACAGCCACCAGCAGAGCGAGGGGTCCCGCGGGGGGAGGGGGTGGGCTTGGGGTCACTGATGTGATATTAACTATTGGTGGCAAGAATAGGAAAATTCTTGCTAAACTGACTTAATAGGATTCTTGCTGAAGGCAGCCCGGGGTGATCGGGGATCAAGGGTTGGAGAACTCTGGCTGACCTGACTTAGCAGGATTCTTGCTAAAAATGGGGCTTGGCAGGCCCAAGAGGGGGCCCAAAGGATGAGGCCTCATTGAAAAGAGGTCTCCGAGGAGCCTGTTCACGATTTGGTCCAGGAGAGGGTCTTTAGGGCCTGGAGGCAGTGTGCCCCGTGGCCTCCGAGGCCCTGCAGACAGGACAGGGGTGGGCCCTGCCCTCGGACCACTGTCCCCGCCAACACCCAGGAGCCCAGCTCCATGTCTGCCCTCCCTGCAGACGTTCTCCATCCTACATCATCTGCAACACCACATCCTCAGATGAGGTCCTGGAAATGAAGGTAATGGTGCAAGTGGACAAGGCCAGTATCCACCAGGACCTGTTCTTCCAGTACGTGGAGGACCCCACCATCGTGCGGATCGAGCCAGAGTGGAGCATAGTCAGGTAGGGGCGGCCCTGACCTAGGGTTTCCTTCCCCGACTCTCAAGAGCCAAGGACAGCTCTGGGGCCTGGGTCTGCTTGGAAGACTGATGACCCGGGGTTGGTTCAGAGCACTGCCCCCTGGACCATACCTTCCTGCCAGAGCACCCTCCTTTCACTGAGAATACCTCTGAGTGGGACCCAGACCCAGAGCCCAAGCTCTGGTCAGCAAGAGCCCATGGCCCCTAATGTGAGGATTTGGTGTATGTGCCTGGAGGCCATGATACCCTCACAGTGACTGCGGGGGGTGCCAGGTCTGTTCCCAAATACGGGTGATAATCCCAGTCCTGCCGAGGGATGTAGGAGAAAGAGTAAGATCAGATCCAACTTCTCCTTGGCCTAAAGCAAACAGCATGTCCTTACCACCAGGGTAAGGACCAATTCGAATGCCCATCCTCTGGGTTTCTATAACCTCCTGCCGTCCCTCTGTCATGCTCTGTCATGATCTCGAGTTGTCTGCTTGCTTCACCCCTCCCTCTACTGCACACTCCTCAGGGGCAGGGACTGGGTCTTGTTCCCTATTCTTTCCATGGGGCCAGCATGTGTATAGAGAGCATATGTCCTGGGAGGCAGCCAGGGATGTGCTGTTACAGGAAGACCCTCCAGTGCCACCTCTCACTCAGCCGTACACCAGCTACATAACTTCCTGGGGTCTCCTCTTGAGAGATTCACCATCGGGGACTTTGGAAATTCCAGGGTCCCTGGGGCCCCCTCTCAGTCCCCTGCTTGGTGGGGCTCCAGCGTGTGGCATCTCACTTCAGGGAGGGAACTGCAAGAGTGCTGCCCTGGTCCCTGTCCCTGGAGGATAGATCGTAAGGAGAAGCTGCTGCACAGAGCATCCTGACAGCAAGGCCCCTGTTGACCATTGGGAGACTGCTGAGTGGGGGCCTAGGGGGAGTGCAATGGGACTTGGGGTGGAAAGGACCGGGCTTGGCCCAGCCAAACATCCTCAGGTTACTTAACATCTCTGGGCCTGTGGCTTCTCATCTGTCAACTCCCTCCCGGGACACTGGGAGGGCTAAGCCAGATGCATATGCACAGTGCTGCGCCTGGCTCAACTCTCTACCACTGCCTCTGGCTGAGTCCTCAGCCCTCCCTGTTGGCTTCAGTTCTAGAAGGCATCTGGCATCGGGGGATGGGGGAGGGCAAGAAGATGTAGTTCCCATGGCTGAAGCAGGGGTCAGGGACAAGTCCAGTCCAGAGAATAATCTTTTAAAATAGGGGTCAGGAGACTCCAACCTGAGGGCCAGATCTGGCCATCACCACCTTTTATAAATAAAGTTTTATTGGAACACAGCCATGCTCCTTCGTATATGTTTTGTCTATAGCTGCTTTCTCACCACAGCAGCAGAGTTGAGTAATTGCAACAGACCATATGGCCTGGAAGCCTAAAATATTTACTCTCTGGCCCTTTCCAGGAATGTTTGCCACCCCCGGCCTTAAACCCTGAAAGACAGGCAGCCTTTGTGGAGATGAGATTGGTTATCCTCAGCCGTTACTCCGTAAAACCCAAACTTAATAAGCTTTGGCCGTGATTTTAAAGTAGATGACTATAAGGCACAGAGAGCGGGAAAGAGTCTGTAGGAAGCCATTCTGGGATTTGCCCCCAGGGCCAGGTGAATCCAGGAAGTTGGTGTAGCCCTCGGTCTAGACAAACTCAGCAGCTCCCTGCGGAACTCACAGGCTAGTTTAATTCAGCTCTTCTTCAAGTCGCTGTCATGGAAATAGAGGCTGCGTCCTTCCTGGCACCCAGAGGCCGACCCTGAACCACGTTCCTAACAAGAGGGAGGTTGGAAGCACGTTCTGGGCCTGCCAGCCGGCTCTAGAATTTTTGCTGAATTTTTTTTCTCTGATGGGGCAGGGCTCTGCCAAGTGTGGCTTTGCACTGCTCACAACAGCCTGGGCTCTGCACGCACGAACAGTGATGTGGGGGGTCCGTTCTCAAACGTGGATTGAATTGGCGATTAAGAAGATTGGGAGATGGCCAGATAGCAGAATCTCATTCTGGAACACAGCCACGGGCAGAAGAGCCTGTCAGGGTTTTATAGGAATCTTCTTGCATGTATGTGCATGCCCTGTGCACGTGCTATGCATGTGCGTGTATGTGAGTGGGAAGGCAGGTGGAGGGCAAGAGAAAGCCAGGGAATAACTGGGAGTGTAGTGATGGGTAGAGATGCAGAGAGGTAGAAATGAATGTGGGCGACAGGGATTCTTCACTCACCAAGCTTACGACTGTTTCAGATAGTAGGACTCTTCTTTTTTTTTTTTATATATAAATTAATTTGTATTGGTGTTCAATTTACCAACATACAGAATAACACCCAGTGCTCATCCCGTCAAGTGTCCCCCTCCGTGCCCATCACCCATTAGTAGGACTCTTCTTGAAGATACTTCTTGATGGTGGGGACAGTGACTTGTCACTTCCTTTGAGTAGGCCCCCAGGAAGTCAGCCCCTGCCCCATGTCAGCTTCTCAGAGCCCTATAGATAACAATGGCACCCAGGTTTTTTTTGGAAAGCTACGCAAAGAACCTCCTGCTCCCTCCTCACCCATAGCTGGCTGACACCCAGGCTACAGGAGACCCGAGTCTCAGAACATGTGCTGTTTGCCTTCCTACATGAGGTTCCTGGGTGTCTGGGCCTCTGCCTTTCCCAGACCTCAGCAGACTGAAGCCCAGAGTCAAACTGTGGTGATGGCCCCGGGGAGAAGACTGTGCTCAGACCCTGGAGGGTCTGGTGGGGGACATTCGGGAGGAAGGCTTTCCTTAGGCCAAAGTCAGTGTGAAAATCTCCCTGTGACTGGCAAGGGCCATGGGAGAGACACCGGGGGGCTGCAGAGAAGCATCTGACTCAGGCAAGCCTCCAAGGATGCCAAGCTGAGTGCAGGATGGCCACAGACATCTGGTCATCACTGGTTCCCTTGGCTGCTTAGAACTCATCCTTCTTATTATTCAGTCAGTTTGCCACCATTGTCCCCGTGAACATTATCACGCCTCCTGGTTGGCATTGCCTTTAATGCCAGAGCCTCATCATCATCATCATCATCACAGTCGTCAAGTGCCCTGTGCTGACACGCCTCCTTTTCTCCCCCACCCCATCAGTGGCAACACACCCATTGCCGTATGGGGGACTCACCTGGACCTCATACAGAATCCCCAGATCCGTGCCAAGCATGGAGGGAAGGAGCACATCAATGTGAGTCCAGGGCTGGCAGGGGGGCATGGGGCTGTCCATGCAAGATGTCACTTTCCCAAAGGGTGTGGGAAATCCCAAGTAGGGCAGGTCCCCCGGACACAGATGACCCATTGGAGCTCTGGGATGGTGAGATGAGGGAGCAGACATGACGGCATTTTTATACCTTGGGATATGGGCAGGGAGAAGTAATCGCTTCTGAGGAGCCTAGTCACTGCCACAACTGCTGTGGGCACAGGCACTCCTTGAGTGGCCAGCTTCTATGGTCCTGGCTGCAGAGGGGCGGTGGCCCATCCTTACTGTCCCCTGTCAACACCATGTGGTGCGATCGCACTGAGGAAGCCCTGGTGGGTGTGTTGGGGCTGTGTGGGTCCAGACACTGCATGGTCTTCCCTCTCTGGCCCCTCTAGCTCTGTGAAGTTCTGAATGCTACTGAGATGACCTGCCAGGCTCCAGCCCTCGCTCTGGGGCCCGACCACCAGTCCGACCTGACCGAGAGGCCCGAGGAGTTTGGCTTCATCCTGGACAACGTCCAGTCATTGCTCATCCTCAACAAGACTAACTTCACCTACTACCCCAACCCCGTGTTCGAGGCCTTTGGGCCCTCGGGAATCCTGGAGCTCAAGCCTGGCACCCCCATCATCCTGAAGGTAGAGCGAGGTGGTGGGCAGGAGGCGGGAAGCAAGGAAGCTGCTGCATGGAACAGGGAGACTTTCCAAGTCACAGAGAGAAGCCAGAAGTCATGGGCTCCAGTCCAACTTCATAATCGGAGCCCCTAGCAGAGGTTGTGTCATAGTCCAGAGTATGAGAAACACTGTCTCTGAGTTTGTATTAAGAGTCAGACTCTCTTTAGAGGCCACAGAGACTTGATCAGGGCAGCTGGATCCGTCCTAGCCATCTGACTTCCAGGCTTTCTCTGTCCCCTGAGTCCAGGACCTGGGAGGTCAAAGGCTCATGCTCCTTCCTCCCATGTAGCCCTTTGCAAATCACAGTATAGGGTTTCTTTGGAGCATGGGTTGCAAATCAGTTATAGCACCCATGACAATTCCAGTCAACTGGGAGTGATTGACCCCAACACTGCGTTGAGAAGGGTTGAGGCTGCATTTGGTTAGGCTAAAGAGTGCCTTGATTACGGGCCCCACTGAGGAAGGGAAATGGTAGTGTAAGCGCCACAAAGTTTTTGGAAGGTGGCCTCTCCACCAGCTCACCAGCAGGACGGGACCTCTGGGCAGGAGGCTGTGGCCACCAGCCAGTCGCTGTGGTCCAGACTCTGGGGTGCCAACTGGGGCTTCCTTGTGCCTCCCAGGGCAAGAACCTGATCCCACCCGTGGCCGGGGGCAACGTGAAGCTGAACTACACGGTGCTGGTGGGGGAGAAGCCGTGCACTGTGACCGTGTCGGATGTGCAGCTGCTCTGCGAGTCCCCCAACCTCATCGGCAGGCACAAAGTCATGGTGAGCCTGGCAGAGGGTGCAGGGGGATGCGTGATGGCTGAGGTGGGCACGAGGGATGCCAGAGTGTGAGCAGACCAGCTCCACCCTGGGCACCAGGGCTTTCCCGGGGAATCCTTATGCTCATCCTACTCATCCTCTTATGGAGCAAGGCAAAGCTGCGTTAATATGATGTGCACGGCGCCTGTTACAGGCAGGGCCCGGGCAGGGCAGGACCACTGTTGGCAGCATAACCTCATACTCCGTGCCTCGGTCCTTATGCTGGGATGAGTCTCAGGGAGCCAGTCATCGAAGTCATGTCAGACTTCTTGAGGTCCCAGTTGTGTGCTGTGTCCTTATGAAGATGACAATGCTGGTCCTGAGTACTGTGCAGCATCCCATCTCTGGACCCCCCAGACCCATCCCTCAGCCCCCACACCGCCCCCAGCGGTTCTTACAAGAGCCAGTGATGATGGTTCTCCTCCCTGGAGCCCTTTCCGTCTGTCCCCCCAGACTGGCCTGTGGCCAGTTCATCCAAGTCCTGGGCCTGCTCCCCCCTTGCCCCAGCTCTGTGCCAGCTCCCAGCTTCCTGTCGCCTGCTGTGCCCCCAGGCCCGCGTTGGTGGCATGGAGTACTCCCCGGGGATGGTGTACGTGGCCCCAGACAGCCCGCTCAGCCTGCCTGCCATCGTCAGCATCGCCGTGGCAGGCGGCCTCCTGGTCATCTTCATTGTCGCTGTCCTCATCGCCTACAAACGCAAGTCCCGCGAAAGCGACCTCACGCTGAAGCGGCTGCAGATGCAGATGGACAATCTGGAGTCGCGCGTGGCCCTGGAGTGCAAAGAAGGTACCGGGGGACCGGGGACCATGGTCTGACCTCTAACTCTGGCCTCTGAGCTCGTTTCCAGACCCGACCCAGATCCCAGCAGACCCACCCCTCCCCTGGTTCCCCAGGTCAGGCTGGGGTGGTCTTGAACCCCAGAAGGGCAGCTCGCAGCCACAAATCCTGAATCCTGGTCGCCGGGGTTTTACACTCCCCTCTCGGGAGGGAGTTTGGGGTATCTTGACACACAACATGTTCAGCAACCTTGAGCTCCCCACCTTTAGGCTGTAGGGCTGATTTGAGGTTTAGAGGGAAGCGGGTTGCACAGCTTGTATTTTTAAAAATTACTGACACCACCGTGATGTGAAGTCAGCGGCGCTAAATCCAGGAAGGAAACTTAGGAGTCAGAGTCTTGTCGCCCCCAGGGTATCATTTCGTGAGTCACCCTGGGAGGGTCTGAGTGGGTTCTTTGCTGTGGATTTTTTTCTCGGAGTCCATCGGGCCCGTACCTGGGGCTCTACCAGCAGGGAAGCCGCGGCTCCATCTGATGGGGAAGTGCGTCCGTCCCATCCCCTCACTACACCCTTTGCTGTCAACACGGCATCTGCCTTGTGGGACTGTTAATTACTGCCTTTTATTATATTTACGCTGCTTAATTTTTTTTCTCCGCAATGTACTCTTCCCTCTAATTAGGTGTAGTGATTAGAATCTCTTTTATGTGTGGCGGGCGCAAGGCTTTGAATGTTGGAGGCGCCTAGTGACTTGAAGGAAAGCTGTACACCGATAAAAAGCCAGCCCCCGCCTCCTCCTCCTGCCAGCCGAGCACCCTGACTGGGAGGGGCCTGGGAGGGGAGTGCGAAGCCAGGTTCCTCTGAGAACGTTCTGGAGAAGGAGACATCAGCCTCCAGATAGGGAGTCCAGCCGAGGAGTGTCAGTGGAGGCACCCGGAGAGGGCCTTGGTTCTGGCTCGGGAGAGAGCCATTCTGCACCATGAGATTAGCCCTAAAAGGATGTGTCAGGGGAGCCCAGGACCGGCCTGGGAGGTGTAAGGGGCAGCATGGGTCCAGGCAAGGTGAGTCCCCAGAGCCCTGACCGTAAGCCAGGACGTCACCCACACATACACCCAGAAGAGGCCCCTTCGCTGATGAAACACTCACTGCCACACACACACACACACACACACACACACACACACACACACACGTTCCTCACTCAGCACATGCAGGAGTGCTCATCAGGCTTTAGGTGACTGCACATGCCAAAAATCTTAGTGACCCCCCCCCCATACACGCAAGTACCCACATCTTGATGTAAGTTCCACACGGATGCATTAGGGCTACTCTGCCTTCTGAGTCACTCGCCTTGATGGGGACACCCTGCATCAGTGTGACCAAGGGTGTGGAAACAGCAGCAACGCTGGAGAGGGTCCATGGAGCCAGTGCAGGGGGCCGGGCGGTGCTTGGTTGTTGTGCCAGATAAGAAGCCCCGCTATCCTCAAGGGCCAGAAACCTGAGATCCAGAGGCCTGAGGTGGCATGGGGGGACACAGGGGGCCCTGGCCGCAGGGCCTGGGGCAGCCATGCTGTGTTCATGTGATCCACAGAGCCCACGGAATACTTTTCCCTATTCTTGTGCTGATTTCAATATTAGGAAGTATCGTTGACTCAGTGCCCACTGGCTGTTCTTTGCCAGCATGGGTTAATGCATCCGGGCTGTGTGTGTCATGCATGCATGTCAGTATGTGTACCTGTGCCCAGGAGAAAGGCGGAGCAGGGAAGGGCCTGGTGCCTCCTCTCTAACTGCCTCCCTGGGTGGACGGCAGCCTGTGGGGAGGGCCGTGCTCCGGACCGAGGGTGCTCACAGCTTGGGTACCATGTAAACACCTGGGTCGGGTGCTGGACTTTCTTGGGGCCCAGAGAGAAGGGGGCCTTGCAGCTCCACAACCATCCAGAAGCTTGAGCTGCCTCCACGGACAGCAGTGCCCACATGCAGGTCATAATTCACCATTGAGTGGCATCACCTTGAAGAAGGAAGGACAAAGATACGCCCCGCACATCTATCCAGAAGGAATCTATTAATGTGGCATAGCCTTCGTCTGGTCCCACTGGGTGGTTGATGGCTCCAGTGAGCCACCTGGCCCCAAGCTGGGACTGCAGAAGAAATTGTTCTTAACTTATACAAGGAAGACTGCTATAAACATGCAGAATTGGGAATAGACCTCCACCCTGGAACCTCTCCCCCCCCTCCCCCTGTCCCCTGATAGTGGAGTCCCACCCCACCCCACCCCACCCCAGCATAGTCCGCAAACCAAAGCCCTTCATCTTCAGAGGGAGGCGGCCTTCAGGTCTCAGCAGCAGGACACATCTGTGGACAGTCCACCCCCATCCATGCTTTGGAAGGGATTTGGCCCAAGACCAGCTTCCTTGCACTACATCTTCTTCCCTTCCTGTTTCATTCACCCCAGCTACCTAAAACATCCCACATCATCCTGCACGCCTGCGGTCCATTGCCCATGTCTCCCTGGGGTTGGGGTGAGGATTCTGAGCAGTCAGATGCGGGGGCCGCTCCAGTCAGCAGTCTCATGGGCTTCCCTCTGTGCCAGCTTTTGCCGAGCTGCAGACGGACATCCACGAGCTGACAAGTGACCTGGATGGAGCTGGGATCCCCTTCCTGGACTACAGAACCTACACCATGCGGGTGCTGTTCCCCGGAATCGAAGACCACCCTGTGCTCCGAGACCTCGAGGTGAGAAGCCGTACCCGTGACCAAGCCTTGCCCCGTGAAGGTGTTATAGTGTGGAGAAGGGTGTCCGTGATCTTCAAGGGCAGGCACCCCGTTTGGAGGTGAGAAAGCTGAGGCCAGGGAGGGGACGTGACTGGTCTGAGGCTCTCCCCACTGGTCAGTGCCAGCCAGCCAGCCAGCCAGCCCCTCTGCAGGAAATGGGGCCACGCCAGGGAGCCTCTGAGCCAAGTTGGGAGTAGATCTGGGTTCTAGGGGCCATGGACCCATTGAGAATTGAATGGAAGTTGAAGGGAAAAACTGTACCTATATGCAAAAGCCAGAGATGTGGCAGACTGACGGTGCCGTGAGTTCATTGGCCGCCTGTTTAGGAAACCACAGTGTAAGGGACTTAGGTACATGGTTGGCGCTCACTCAGTGTATGTGGAAAAGATAAGGGATGTGCTGGGAAGGGAGGTGGGCGCATGAATGGTAGGAACACAACCGTCTTTTGTACCAGCAGGACCTCATCTTTTGAACATTTTATCCCACTTACCGTCTAGCATAGTATCTGGCTTATGCATATATTCATGTTACGCTTTGTTCCAAAAGGGATTTGGGATGACTTATAAATACCAGAGAAAAGTGAAAAATACAAATGAGGAAACCAGGGCAAAATAATAATCATAAGGAACAATCTCTGCAAGTTGACGGCGCGCTAATCTCCTAGTCCAGTTTTAAGTACTTGGTTTGTGTGTGTGTTGATTGACGATCCCACAAGCGGTCTGAAGAAGGTGCACTCATTTTAGATGCAAGGAAACTAAAGTTTCAGGGAGAACTCTGGGGTCACCTGCTGGGAGGGGGCGGGGCCAGGATTTGAGTCTGGAAGTTAGACTCCAGGGTCTGTGCTCCTTACGAGGAAAAGACTGCATGTCACTGTCATGCCTGAGGGCTCTAGATTCTTATCAGGATGCATCAAAAATCTCCAGCCAAAGCAAAAACAGAAAACGAGACAAACTCTGAGATTTACACCATCCATGACATCACAACAGACCCCTCCCCGCCAGCTCAGCAGTGGCGGGGTTCTGCAGGTGTTGGCCCTGCGGGAATGTCTGCTCGGGCTGGCCAAGGGGATGGGGAGGTCGTGCACCTCTCCAGAGGCAGAGTGGGGCCCCGGGGACTCAGGAGCCCGCGTGCGTTTCTCCACAAACGTTTGTTAAATAGAGCGTGCGCCCGTGTGCGGAGGCCTGTGCTCCCGGGCACGCTTCTACAACGAGGGCAGGGGCACTTCCATGTGGAGGAGTGTCCCCTTGGCCCCTCAGTAGATAGATACCAAGGGGCACTTCCAGAGGTCATAGACAGTGGGCCCTGTGTCCTCACTGAGAACACCGTCTACATCTTGATGTTCTAGCCATTTTCTTGGCCTCACTCTTCCTGCCTGTGTCCTCTCTCATTCTCTTTCATTTTTCTCTGCCATTTATTTTTTTGCCCAGCCTCATTTTTACTTGCTTCAAAATACCAGGGTGTTTGGTCCCTTGAAGACTCTGCACTTTGCATATGCACTTGCATCTCGAGATTCTGAGTCTCCAGCCTGGCTTGGCACTCACTGAACACACACCCAAGGGCAGTACGCTCCCAAGGACTGCCCGGGGCGGGGGCAGGACGGTCACAGGGCTCCTTCCTGCACAGGACCTCACGGGTGGTGGTGCAGGGTGAACGCTGCCGTGCTCCAGATGGCATCATCTGGGGGACACCTCTGGACCTCCTCAGTGTACAACCTGCCTCACTGTGTGCAGCAGCCCTGTTCACGGAGGACAAGAAGGCAAATGATTCCCTCTCAGCGCCCCTCCGAACCGTATACCAAGACGTTTGCCAAAAGCTGTTGGGAGCCCCCGCCACCAAGGCCAGCTTGGAGGCCTTGCTCCTGTGGGAAGCAAGACAGGGGCTGCTCCCCAACTCCTAGCCTTATTCTTCAGGGATGCACACAGCCGGGAACCCGGCTCGGCAAGCCAGGCTCAACAAACAGAAACCCCCAGCCAGCACCCTCACCCCTCACCCCCGCCCTCAGAGCCTTGCATGGAGCCAGCTCCCTGCTTCCCTGGGGCCGCACTGGCCCTGTCTGCCTTGTTACCTGACCTGAGGTACCCCCGGGCCAGGCTTCCGGGCCAGCAAGCTCCACACTCTGCCAGAAAACCTCAAGAGCTTTGCTCAGCACCACCTTAGAGATCCATAATTTCTGCACTTCCCGGTGACACCACCTATGCCCTGGGCTGAACATGCACGAGGGTACCCCAGAGTTACTGACCCCCCTTCTCCATCTGTCTGTCACGGGTGTCAGATGAACCCAGCCCTGGGAGGGCTGCGGGGGGCCTTGAGAACCAGGGCTGCTGGGTTGTCATCACCTGAGCAGCCTGTGTGACCTCCAAGCTGTTCAGTGCACAACCTGGACACCCTGCCCCCGCCCCACCCTGTTCCTCTGGCCCCCGTTACAGATTACACCATGTCCGACCGTGACCTGATTCCTCATCCAGCACATTCAGCTTTCCCCTCAGACCTGAGTCTTCTCGCTTCTTCCTTGCCTTCATCATGTGGGGAGACGTTTAGTTCCCACCCTCCTGCTCGTGAAGGAGTGAGCAGCCACCTCCACACTGGAGGACTGGAGCCCCTGGGATGGCTGACTGTCAGGCACAGGCTGACTCAGGTCACACAGCTTTCCTCATTTTGAATCGTGGTAAAATCCGCATCACATAAAATTGACCATATCAATGATTTGTTCGTGTTACAGCTCAGAGTCAGTGCGTACACGCTCGCTGCACTGCGACCATCACCACCAGCCGTCTCCGGAGGGTTTCCATCTTCCCCACATGCTACCGTGTCCCCATTACACACTAGCCCCCCATCCTCTCCCCCAGAAACCGCCCTTCGACTTCCTGTTTCTGTGAATTTGAAGACTCAGGGCACCTCGTGGACATGGAATCATGTAGTATTTATCCTTCTGGGATGGGTTTATTTCACTTAGCAAAGTGTTTTCAAGGTTCACCCCATGGTAGCACATGACAGGATCGCTCTCCTCTTTAAGCCCGAGCAATCGCCTATTGTAGGTTTGCAGCACCTTTTGTTTGTCTCCTTATCTGTCAGCAAGCACTTGGGCTGCTTCCACCTGTTGGCTACCATGGATGATGCCGCTAAGAACGTGGGCGTACAGTTATCTGCTTGAGCTCCTGCTTCCATCTTTTGGGTATATACCCAGGACATACGACTTTTCATTTCCATTAGACTTGCTGATTAATTGACCAAAATCAGCTTTTCCTCTCCCACCCGAGCCTGCGGATTCACACAATCCAGGAATCTTGCCTGGATTGGTCTTTGCTGATTTGTTTCCAGCCCTGTCTTACCACTGGAATAGTTTCTCTCTGTTGGCTTTCTGAAAATGGAAATATTCCCAGGGAAGCCACTGACGAATCTAAAGCAATGTTTCGCAACCCCTGCAGCCGTTGGGATAGCTGCCCACTGGCTGGGCACGGGCGGTAGGTGTGTGAGAGGAAGCAAATGTTGTCTGACTTCAGTCTGTCCTGGACACAGGCCACCCATCCCCCTCTTTTGTGACCATCAGGTGAAGGCAGGCATGGGGGTGAGGGGTTGCCTAGGCACTGCACAGGCACGGATCTTTTCAAACCAGGGAGCAGGGAGTGAACCGTAACCATACACCCCATTTTCAACCTACCCATGCCTCCCAAACTCTAACCTGTTGGGTTACAATTGAAATTTACTATCCAGTTTTATACTCACAGACTTCAACTAAATTATCGAACCATCTGGTGAATAAAGAAAGTCTTGTTTCAGAGTGGCATTTGCTTAGGGAGCAGGGGTGGGAGGGTGGCAAGTTATGAAAGGGAATTGTGCGGGATATTCTTCACCAAGATACTTCACTTCCTTCTCCTCTTCATAAAATGGGGAGAAAATCCTTACCTTCTGCGCACCCCCGGACTCCGGGCCAATGCATTCAATGTCTTGAAAACTCCTGGGCGAGAGGATTGGGTGAACAGCAGCCAGTGGAGTAGGAGAGGCAGGTAATAAACCTGCTGTTGAGTGCGCACCGCATGTGCCAAGCACTTTACATGCATTATCTATCTAATGCCCATAAAACAATATGACATGGGCACTCGTATTCTCATTTTACAGGCGAGGTGATAGAGCCCAGAGGTGACAGCTTTCCTCCATGCATGAGTCAGTTAGTGTCTCTGATTCCAAAGCCTGGGCTGCTGACCGGCACGCTGTGGCCTCAGCTTTGCTGGCTGTGCTACACCTTCCTTCTCTGGGCCCCAGGCCTTGGGACCCAGAAGGCGTGTGCAGCTAAGCCACGAAGTTCAGAGCACGTCCTCTCACCAAATGTGCCATGTGACCAGCCCTGTGTTCTCATCTTCCACTCCAGGGGCCCTGATGCCAAACCTGGCTGTGGTTCCCTTGCCCTTGATGGGCAGCCTGAGCTGCCAGGAGGCCCTGCATGGGAGGCTCACAGCTGGCTCTCAGTCACCTCTGAGGCCCACGGGTAGGACCGAATGTGGTGAAGGATGGGGAGGACGGACAGGGCCTGGGAGGCCAAACAGGCTTGGGTTTGGGCATCCAGCACCCTCCTGCACCAGCTGGCTGGCCTCGGGACTGCTACAGTAGGTTCTCTGAGAGATGGTGAAGAGGACACACGCACTCTTGCTTGGCTGGAGCGATGAATACGTGTGCCAGTGCCGGGCACTGCCCACGGTGGGTACCCAGCAAGTGGCGTTGTCTCCCATCAGGACAGGTTGTGGAGCAGTTCTCTGGGGGGAATGAAGGACAGACAAGGTAAAACATGCATACATGTGTCAGGGGTGGTCACAGAGCCGGGACGGAGCTCAGCGGGATGTATGGATAGCTGGGTAGACTGAGGCCTGGCTGGCGGCAAGCTGGGGCTGCCCCCTACCCTTGTCCTTCCTTGGCCAGCCCCTGTGGAGTAGGGAACCCGGTGCGGGCTGGGGAGAGCTGGGCAGGGCGTGGGCAGGGCGGGAGCTGAGATCGGGCCCACCTTAGGGACGGTCGGCTGTCGTGTGGGGTAAACGGGTCAGTATTTCTAGAGCGTGTAGAACAGCGCTCAGCAGAGTAAGGGCTGCACACACGACAGCTCCAGTAGCTTCATGTCTCTGACGAGGGAGTGGAGTCTTCTCAGGGTCCCCAGACTAGCACACGGCAGTGACAGTTAACCCCAGCTCGGCTGAGTCAGACTGCACCCTGCACTGCTGCGCACCTGACGCTCCTCCCCCAAAGACTCCTCCTGCGGAGGTCCCTGCCCCCCCCAGCTCCCCACCCCACAAAGGGTGCCCTGCTCCGCTCTCAGAGGGCTTCACCTTGGGGGCAGAGGCTATGCTTGGTTAAGTCACCCCTTTGTTTTCATGGGTGGATACACACAGGGCAGTGCACACGTTGCCAGAACACCCTGAGTGGGCACCGCCGTGGAGCCAGCACGCAGATCGGGGAGGCATCCTCCCAGCTCAGGCGCAGGCTGGCTCAGTGTGGAGATGCAGGCAGGAAGACCAGCGCTTCCCCTCTCCCCGGGTGTCAGAGGAGTCTGAGAAAACAGCAGACACTAGAGTCAGTCAGGGGGCACCTGAGAGAATGCTGGGCTTCCTCCCCTTTCCTGGCGTGAGTCACCTTGGGCCCCCAGAGACGTGAATAGACTTGCCCAAGGTCACACGGGGTGGCAGTGCCAGAGCCTCTGTGCACCTTGGAAGTCCTGACACGGAGGCCATGGGTCTGTCAACAGGACCCAGGTGGCTGGAGAAGGGTCAGCATCAGGGCAGCTGCAGGCTCAGGTGTGGTGATCCCTGGCCACTGGGGTCACCTGCTGCAGCCCCGGCCTCCTGGAGGCTGCCCCAGGGGGCTGTCTGTGATGCTCACCTGCTGTGGCGTGGGGGCCCCTCACTGGCTCTGTGCTACCGTCAGGGAAGAGCTCAGGCTCCAAAGTGAGTGAGGACCCCAGCACTGCCATGACAAAGGTTGTCTCTGTGCCTCCCCTGACTCAGCTCCAAAGCAGAGGCAGTGTGGGCCGCCACGGGGTTAGGGGAATAGCTAGCACGGTGCCCACCACCGAACCAGGGCTTGATGGCATCCGCAGGGGGGCTGCGGCCCGAGCGGCGGCGGGGACTGGGGTGGCAGGGTCCCCGCTCCTGTCCCCGGCAGTCACAACCCCCGGGGGCTCCTCCTCCGCAGGTTCCCGGCTACCGGCAGGAGCGCGTGGAGAAAGGCCTGAAGCTCTTTGCCCAGCTCATCAACAACAAAGTGTTCCTGCTGTCCTTCATCCGCACCCTGGAGTCCCAACGCAGCTTCTCCATGCGCGATCGCGGCAACGTGGCCTCGCTCATCATGACCGTGCTGCAGAGCAAGCTGGAGTACGCCACCGACGTGCTGAAGCAGCTGCTGGCCGACCTCATCGACAAGAACCTGGAGAGCAAGAACCACCCCAAGCTGCTGCTCAGGAGGTGAGGGCGGGCCCGAGGGGTGGCAGGGGCCAGGTCAGAGAGCCCCCGCCCAGCCCACTCGGCCTGGCTCTTGTGCCTTCTGGGGAGACCGGGGCAGAGCTCCAGAAGGAGCAGCCAAGTGCCCCAAGGGTAGGCGCCGACCCACCCAGCGGCCAGGGTGCACCCGGTTGCCCTCCTGGAAGAACCCGTCCACCATGCCCATCTGCTCCCGGACATCCTTGTCTTCTCTCTCTATCCCTATGCTGCCCTGATCATGACCCTTTCTGCTGCAACTCTTGTCTCAGGGACTCTTCGGGGGCCTTTCTCCCATCCCCTGACCTTATCTAAATCAGAACGTGAATTAGGAGAGATACCCCAGGCCTCTGCCTGGGGACCCACCTCACCACCTCAAGATTGGGAACCTGAGCCCCTGGCGGCTCTCCCCGCCGTCCAGGACCAGCAGCGAGGCAGCGCCCTGGAGGCTGCAGGGAATGCAGGATCCCAGGCCCCGACCCACACCCCCTGGGGCGGAATCTGCATGCTCACGAGAGACCGTGGTGATCGCGGGCACGGGAGGGTGTGAGGAGCCCTGGGCCAGCCGGTGTGCGAAGGAGAGCCGGGCGGCAGCCCCTGCCACTGCCCTGCACCTGCCGGGGGCTCCGCGGGGCTCCGTCCCACGCCGCATCCTCCTCGGCGCTGTGCAGACCTGAGGGGCCACATGTGGCGACAGAGCCCTATCCTGGGGCTTTGGCTTTGTAGGAAACAGACTCTGTGACCCCAGCCACGCTGCCATTCACACTTGCCTCCTACCTGCGGGAAGGCTGTGTCTCATCTAGGCTGTTTCTGCTGCGTCTTTAGCCTTCGAGCGGACAAAGTGGGAAATCTCCCACGACTGGCCATCCCGTCCGGCCCAGCCTGTCCTCTGCCTTCCGCCCTCGACGTCTGGGTCTGAGCAGGGCTTCCCACTTGGTCCAGGGGCTAGACTTGGCTTCCACAAGTGTTTACCTCAGGCTTTTTCCTGATGCAGCGGGCATTCGCCTGCACAGCTGCAAAAGGTTGCTACCTATCGGAGCAATCAGACAGCTTTGGAAACAGCAAGGTAGATCATTTTGATTTTTGTTTTACTTTCACCACGCAGCCACCCACCGGCGTAATTCTAGGGTTGCCACTGCCTGCCAGAGCTCCCACCGACAATTTCCCGGCGTGGCCTCGCTCTGAGTCTGTGCGTCTCCGCCTCTTGTTTTCCAGCAGGGCTCTCCCAGATGCTCTCTCTCCTTCTGCCCTCCTCCGTCTCCCTTTCTTCCCCTTGCCCCGGGCTGGCCCCCTCATTTCCACGGCCTTCCTTCTCTTCTCCTCCTGGCTTCCCCTTGTGCTGGCAGCTGCCCAGCTGCCTCGGGATTGTAGCTCTTCATGTCTTCCGCCAACTGCAACTTTCGAGTCCATCCAAACATACCTGGATGGGCCGGTTGCTCTCTCTGGAGCTGGCCACATGCTTAGCACAAGCCTGAATGCCGTTTGTTTTCTCTAAGTGGATGCAACCAAAAGTGTCTTTTGGCCATAACACTGCTGCGGTGGCTTCCCTTCCAAAGTAAAAGGATAAGTGGGCTTGGGTAGCAGCAGTCTAACAAACGATGCAAGTTAGACCCAAGACGGCACTTCCGGTCTTTTGCAAATGAAACACCAGCAGGGTTCCAGGGTTCCAAAGGATGTGGAAATAGGATAATTTTGGCATCAATTGGGATGAGCTAGGTATACAGCTTTAGTTCGTGTCGGCTCTTAGAGTCTTTCACTTCAGGTGATGGGGTCAGTCTAATCTATCTGGCCTTTGTCGCCTGACACAGTGCTGTGGGCCATTGTCTGGCACCTGCTGGAGACTCCTGCCACCTTCTTTTCTGTCCCCTGCCCAATTGCAATCTTCCCAGGTTTTTTTCAGTTTCCTTTTTTCACCCCCCCCCTCCCAGGAACTATAAAGTTCCCTAAAGCTGTCCCATCCAAGTCACTAGGAGACCCATGTGCCTGTTCAAATGTAAATTAATTAAAGGGGAAGAAAAAGTAAAATTCAGCTGCACACTAGCTGCATTTCGAGTGCTCAGTAGGCCCCTAGGGCTGGTGGCTACCCCACTGGACAGCAGTGAGAGCTCTCATCATCATTGCAGAAAATGCCGATGGACGGAGCTGCTCTAGCACATTTCCATCTGACACCAGAGTGTCGTCTCCTGGCTTCATAGGCAAAGCTTGTCTCGTCATCATGGAGTGTCTAGGCTCCACAGAATTCAAGTATTCTTGGATCTCAGGATGTGGCCCGAAAGCCAGAAGCAGCAAGATCAATGCAGTTATTTCCCTGCTTCCTGGTCCTTGGGCTCTGACCAGCTGCTTCTGTCTTTTTTTTCTTGCTGGGACAGAACTGAGTCGGTGGCTGAGAAGATGTTGACCAACTGGTTCACTTTCCTGCTCTACAAGTTCCTCAAGGTATGATGGGATGTGGGGGTATCTCTGGCCCTGCAAGTTACCTACCCCCCAGCCCCTGCCAACCTGCCCTACTTCCCTGCACACCCCGAAGCCCACAGTCCCCAAGGCCTGGCTCGTAGAACCCCATGAAGAAATGCAGTCCCCCCATTGCCATCACTATCACCAGGGGGACAGACTCCTGACCATCACAGGAGACAGAGCCCATCCACCTCGACCCCCTGCCCTGTCCGTCCTGGCATGAGAGACAATGTCCTGTCCCACAGCCCACTTTCTCCCAGGCAAGGGGGAGCCGAGCCCCAAGGGGGAGCTGAGCCCCAAGGCCAGAGTCCCCTTGTAAGCTCATAAGGATTCATCCCTTAGTTCCCCGCTTTCTGCCCTCCTGGCCTCCTCCTGGGGCTGATAAGTGTCCCAGGCAGGTACCACAGCTGCATGTGGCAGCAGATAAGCCTCCTGTGTGCCTGGGAGGTGGGAGAGCTGCTCAGCTTCCAATTATTACCTTGCTTTGTAAGGACTTCGCAGCCACGCAGCCATGGGGACTGACCTGTGTCTCCTGCTGGGCCGCAGGGGAGGCTGAGCAGGGTGGGGAGAAGGAAGGGAGCGGGGACAGGAGGCAGGGCTGGTGAGGAGAAGACGGTGGTCCAGAGGGCCCAGACAGATGCACGTCCGACGGGGGCGGGGGTTGACAACAGAGCAGAATGAGGAGCAGGAGAGAGTTGGAGCAGAGGAGTGGAAAGCAGCCCTTGGGGGAAGCGGGCTCCAGGAGGCTGGCCCAGCGCCCGCCCAGCACGGTTCTCCTCTGTGCCCAGGAGTGCGCTGGGGAGCCCCTGTTCTCGCTCTTCTGTGCCATCAAGCAGCAGATGGAGAAGGGGCCCATCGATGCCATCACCGGGGAGGCCCGCTACTCTCTGAGTGAGGACAAGCTCATCCGCCAGCAGATCGACTACAAAACCCTGGTAAACCAGCCTCACAGCTTTGCCCCATGCCCCCTGTAATGGGGCTCTGGCCCCAGGCAGCCCCCGCCCAGCAGAGGGGAGGCAGAAATGCTGAAGAGCCGCCTGCCCAGGCCCAACCAGGTGTCCCACGTAGGCCCGTCCCCAGACTCCCTCACCTGGTTGGGGGGGACTAGTAGCTCACTTCAGTGGGACTAGTGTGCTTGCAGGCCAGTGTGCAGCTGGCGGGCTGATTCCACGGAATGAGTGCCTTGTCGGCTCTCCTGGGGTGGGGAGTGACACTTCCACACAGAGCAGGTGGGCGCCCGAAGGGAAGCAGCCAGAAAGAGTTCCTCAGGGTTCGGTAGCCTACCTCCCCACGCCGATCTGAGTTCACATACATCCAAGACCCGAGGGTGTGAGTCCAGATTGGCCTCGTGGTTACACCTTTGTCAGGGAACGTGGGGATTCCCTGTGTCCCAGTTCAACCCCCTCTTCTGGTGGCCGCTGTCACCCTAGGAAGCAGCCACACTCATCAGGTAGGAGCATGAGGTCTGGATTGGAGTCCCGACTCTGCTTCTGACCGGCTGGGTGATTTGGGGCAGGTCCCTCCATCTCTGAATTGGGGTTTCTTCATCTGAAAAAAAAAAAAGGATAACACCAGGACTTACCTACACAGGGATAATAATAGTGCAAACCTCCCAAAGTTGTCCAGAGGATGGAATGGGGCAAGGCGTGCGAGGCAGGGAGCCCAGAGTAAGTGCTCACTATTGCTCACCTAGTGCTCACCAGGAGGCCCTGCCCCCTCCTTCCTGCCACTGGCTGTCACACTTGGGTTCTCTTGGATGGAGGTGTGACTTCCCACCAGGCCTCTGCTAGGAGAGGGGAGAAGGTGTGAAAGGAAGGAGGTAGAAAATAAGATAACAGATAAGGGCTGGGGGTGAAGCATGGGGGGGCACCCAGGACGAGGCTGGGGCAGGGGTGCAGGGTGGTAGGGGGATGGGGACAGAAAACTAGGTGGAATTTAAATGCACTAATGGGGAGGGGTGCCTGGGGAGCTCAATCAGTTAAGCATCCAAGTCTTGATTTCAACTCAGGTCTCAGGGTTGAGAGCTCAAGTCCCATGAGGAGCTCCACACTGGGCATGGAGCCTGCTTAAGATCCCCTCCCTCTCTAAAAAAGTAACTAATTAATTCACAAAATGCACTTCTGAGGAGATGTGACATGCACAGGCCTGGCCGGGACAGAGGAGAGCGGGGCCGACCTGCAGGAGCAGTGAACCCAGGGCCAATCCCAGACCCCACAGACGGCAGGGAGGTGGTCCCTCCTGGCTGGGAATGATATGGCCCTGAGGCACCTTCCCCCCATCTCAGTGGGCCAGGGGAGGGGGTCCCAGTGGGCTTCCAGACAGATTTGCTGGAATGGGCTCCCCGAGGAAGCTTCAGAGGAGCAGCATGTGTGACTGGGGCCCTTGCTTCCCTGCAGTCACGTTTTACTCTGGAGGAGAGAGTTAGAGGCTCTGATTAAAATGAGAAAGGGGGGGAGATCTTCCCCAAAATAGAGCCCCGAATCGATTTTTTTTATTGGAGTTCAATTTGCCAACATAAAGCATAACACCCAGTGCTCATCCCACCAAGTGCCCCCCTCAGTGCCCGTCACCCAGTCACCCCCACCCCCCGCCCTCCTCCCTTTCCACCACCCCTAGTTCGTTTCCCAGAGTTAGGAGTCTCTCATGTTCTGTCTCTCTTTCTGATATTTCCCACTCATTTTCTCTCCTTTCCCCTTTATTCCCTTTCACTATCTTTTTATATTCCCCAAATGAATGAGAACATATAATGTTTTTCCTTCTCCGATTGACTTATTTCACTCAGCATAATACCCTCCAGTTGCCGCTGAATAGATTTTTAGTGAGCTTGAAGTACCACCGAAATGCCTCCTGCCTGGCCTACCCCTGACGCCGTCCTTTCCCATCCGCAGTTCCTTCCCCGGGACTGAATCTGGCACAATGAGCTGTAATAATGCCCTGTCCCCAGATCGCAGCATCCTTTACCCCAGAGGCTAGGCTGCCCTGGATAATGGGTCTTACCTCCCGTGTAAGGAACTTGGAATGGGTCAGGAGAGCACAACCATCAGGCGGGGGCACTGAGGGAAGAGACATCCTGAGGAGAGGAGAAAGAAATTGCATGTGTTCTCCCCTGAGAAGAAAGGACTGCAGGGAGATGTGAGGCCACCTGAGGCCTGAGAAAGGGAACCCCCAACAGGCAGAAGGGGAACAGCCCCTGGCTGGTGAGGAGGGAAAGAAAAAGAGAGAAAGCCAGAGGAGCTCTGGACAATTTGGGCCAACCAATGCTATCCCTGTCCCAGGCTGGAAGGGCACCACAAGGGACAGGTGCTGAGAGGCTCAGGGACACATCACTTTGTAGCTAGGGGCCCCTCAGAGGTGTTGAGTGATTGATCGGCTTGACACTAGAACTTGGGCTTGCACGTTCCAGGGCCCTGCTGCTGGGAGTGCCTATTAGCATCACCGGGAGCCTGCTAGTGCTGGGTGCTCACCCAGGAGCCTCCTAGGTAGGTACTAGATGCTCACTCAGGAGCCTGCTAGTGCTGGGTGCTCACCTAGGAGGCTGCCAGGATGGTGGATGCTTACCTGCTACACCGCAGAATCTCGGGCCCCAACCCAGACTTCCTGAGTCAGAATCTATATTCTAACAAAACCCATGAGTGATCCTGTTCACATTAAACTTGAGAAGCACTGAGCTAGCAGGAAAAAAACAACAACAAAGAAAAACATCTGACAGTTTGCTCAGAAACTAAGCAAGGGGCACAGAAATGGGAGTGGGGAAGGAACGTTCTGGGTGGAGCTGTCGTTTGGCCAGTGGCCGGGGAACCCTGTGTCTCAGTACAGCCACCGCTTTTCCAGATGCCCTGGAGCATCCCATGGGGTTCTCCTAGGGCCACCTCAGGGTCTCTAGGGGGAGGATGCCCAGAAAAGGCTGTGCTGCTTCCTGGGGGAGGCTGAGCCCAGAGCACAGGACAGCAGGGGCGGCCAGGACAGCACGAAGCAGCAGGCTGTGCTTGGCCACTAAGCGTCGGACAGTGAGGGCCCAGGAAAGCTTTAGAAGGGACCCTTGGTCCAGAGTTCCTCCCACCATTGTTTTTTACTTAGGACATTTTGAGGGTAAGAGTTTGGTTTTGTAGATTTAGGAGGTTTTTTTCCTTCTTCTTAATGGAAGAAGCATGTTCCCATTTGAGCTCGCAGCAGTCTGGCAGCTAATGAAAGGCAGGCGTCCAGGGGCCAGGGTTCTGATTGCCACCACATGGAGCAGGAGGCGGTGGGCGAGGAAGCTGTCATCTGCATCTGCAGGCATGCAATCGGAGGTGGTGGGGGTGCAGCGGAAGATCAGGGAGGGGAGTGTGAATGCAAGGGCAGTGTCCAGGCGGTGGTGTCCAGGATGCACCAGGGACCCAGCGCTTCCTGCTGCCCTCCCCCACACGCCTCCTCTCCCCTCCTCCAGGTCCTGAGCTGTGTCAACCCAGACAACGCCAACAGCCCTGAGGTCCCAGTGAAGATCCTTAACTGCGACACCATTACTCAGGTCAAGGAGAAGATTCTGGATGCCATCTTTAAGAATGTGCCCTGCTCGCACCGGCCCAAGGCTGCAGATATGGACCTGGGTGAGTAGGCTGCCCACCCAGGGCTGCCCTAGGGCTGGTCAGAAGCACCCCCCGTGGCCCAGAGGCACGTGGGTGCAGGGAACGGGCATGCTCAGCCCCAGGAACCCAGGGAGCCTGCCTCCATGGGTGCTCAGCAAGCAATAGGCAGAGAGGGCACTGCTGTCTGCTGGCAGCACCGCTACCTCAGGGGTCCTTGGAGCAGCCCAGGGGTGTCCTATCTGCAGTGAAGTGGATTCAGGCTCAGTCTATGTGGTCCGAGGCCCCACCGCCACCATCCTTAGCCCCTGGGCCCTTCCCCTCCCCTCTGTTCTGTGCGTGCCATTTTTGCTGACTACCTAAGGCAGGAGGGATCTGGGTCAGTGATAGAGGATGGAGGGAAAGAAGAGGGAGAAAATGAGAGATGACAGCCTGCTGGGGAGCAGGATGACATTTTATTTGAATGTTCCACGAATAGATCACGTAGCCTACATAAACAAGGGCTCGCCACATAGGGCCAGCTGTACTGAGACCCAGTGAGGGTTGGCCTGAGTGTTTATGAGATAGCGTCCTGGGGAAATCCTAGTGGGGCACCCCAAGATCCAGAGGGGCCAGGGCTGAGGAGAGGCAGATGGGCATCATGGCAGAGAGATGAGCCTGGATTGGAGTCCTGACCATGCTAAGTCCCTGCTGTGTGACCTTGGTCAAGTTACTGCCCCTTTCTGTGCCTTAGTTTCTTTACCTTTATGGCAGAGATAAATAACAGTGCACACCGCACCGTGTTGTGAGAAGGAAGTGAGAGGGTGCGTGTGAAAGCCTCTGGGCGCAGCACCTGGCCCGTGGCACACACTCCGTTAGCCTTGGCCGCTGTTATTACTGATCATGGGGATAACATTGGTCAGGAGCAGGTTTGTGCCTGTTTGTTGATCCCGGGCATGGAGGGGAAGGTGCTGACGTGGATGTGTTTGTGTCTGGAGCAATGTAGAGGTGGGAGGACTCCAGGGACCCCTCACCCGTCCATCTGGTCTCTAAGCTGCCTGCAGCTAGGCCATCCAAGACAGATGGGCATCTACCCTATTTGTAACATACAAAGGGGACCTTCGTCCCCTCTCGAGTGGCACCTGCCCTCCTCCCCAAATTCTGATGCCAGCAGCCTCGGGGTCAAGAAGCCCTGTAACCCACCTCAACTCTCTCTGCTTCATTTAACACCGCGTCCCCTTGTTTGGCTCCCAACGGGCCGTGTCCGAGGCATAGGCACCCAGGGAGAGAGAGAGAGACTGGGCAAGCACCTACTCCCCCTCACCTGGGAGGTGGCTCTGCACGTGCTGCTTCCAGGACAAGAAGGAGGCATATGTGAGAGTTGGTGGCGGTGCCGTGTGAGCCAGCATGTCACCTGTGTGTCCCAGAGCACCAGGCACCTGGAGCAGAGTGACGCTTGCACCTGCATGCAGGTGACTCTGCCACCAAGAAGATTCCAGAGGCTGACATAGGGAAGGCACCTGTTACAGAACCAGTGGGAGGGAAAACAGCTACCAGGAAGGAAGACTCCTGTGTTCCCCGCCCCCAAACAATTAAGTGGGTTTTCCCATAATGGGTCTCCCGGTGACAGTTAAGTTCATGGAGGGTGGGGGAGCCAGGTAGCACCCACCATCCCTTCTGTCGAAGTGCAGGACCCATGTCGGTGCACCTTAGGTTCTTGGTGTCCTTATCTGCCCAGTGGGTGGGAGGATAATCCTGGCATAGTGAGGCCAAGAGGAGGAGCTGCTATAAAAACCTTCATGCAGGGAGGTGAGTTTGGATGGTGCTAGAACCCAGGAAGAGCCCCTGTGTGCATGTGCAGATCGGATTGCTGCTTCTCTTGCTGGGAACTGGGGTGACTCCTCAGGAGGGAGAGCCACAGGTGGCTGCATAAACCTCCACCTGAAGCATCCAGACTGAGTTTTTGCACCTGAATGCCTCCTCTTCCTTGCCAGAAAGAGGCAAACTCGGTCCTGTGGTGGTTCAAACACTTCATGGTTTCAGGATGGGTGGGAGCCAATGTTCTTCAGTGTCCTCTCAACCCCCAGCTAAAGGGGTGCCCTCTAGAAGCAGATTTAGGGCCACATTCTCTACATGTGCTTGATTTCACAGCCAGTTTGTGCTGCTCAGGATTGCCCTCCACCACCACCACCCCCCCCCCACCGCCCCAAATCTGTGCATCCTGAACTTGGAAGGGGAAGGGGCTGCTTCTTAGCTTTAGAAAACTGACTGCCTTAAAAGGTCTAGGTGTGCAAGCCCAGCAAAGCAGATCATGAATGCAAAGATGGAAAGCATCCTATGGCCATAGCGGAAAGCCATCTGCAGTGGAAGCAGCAGCCTCGGAGCAGCTGCAGGACTTCCTGCCATCCCCCGAGCAACGAGCGATGGGGCCCAAGTGGGGCTGCTCGCTCTCCAGGCTGCTGGGGCCAGGGACAGGCCGCCTGCCTCCCAGCAGGGGCTGGGTGCCCTGTGACGCGCTGCCCACTGCGGCTGCCCTAGAGACCAAAGGGGCCACCTGTCCCATCAGAGGTGCTGCCAGGGAGGAGGGAGGACCCAGAGACAACCGGGGCAGGGGGAACGAAGCCTCCGACAGCAGGGAGGAAGCCAGAGAAGCGGGGACCCCAGGCAGATGGAGCCTCAGGGCCCCACCTTACTGGGGAAGGAGTGTTATGCCCCACTCCTCACAAAGGCCCCCTGCGCTGGGTGCTCTACCAAGGAATGCCCTTTTTTCTATTAGATGCAGAGCTTGGAGCTGCCCTGAAAGCTCCGGCCTTCTTTCTACCAAAGCCAGATTGCGTAACAAGGAAATGAGGCCTCCTTAGAGACCCGAATGCTTTTTCCACATGATTCAACTCAGCCTCATGGCCCCCGAGGGGAGAAAGAGGCAAGGCAAGTTTTTCCCATCATGTAGGTGATAGTGCTTTAAAAGTCTAAAAGCAATTGACAAATGTAAGGTGCGATTATTATCAAAAATTAGTCTATGCCGAAGGGACATTGCACAAAGCACAGAGATGCATGGAGGACTCGGCCACACGCCTTGGACAGAGGCAAGCTAGCCAAGCATCCTCCCTTCGTTCCTCCTCGCCCATAGCTGAGGGCATGGGGCAAAGGCTGCCGCCCCCGTCCTGATGCCAGCCCCCCGCAAGGAAAGGGCGCTTGTCGCAGAACAGCTCAGAAGGGATCAAAGAGAATTTAGGCCCCCCGCCCTGCCCCCCATAACTATCCTAAGTAAATCCAGCCCCAAACATCTCCTCCTGCCTTTCATCCTCACCGTGGCCCCTGGCCTGGCCTGGCCCCCTCATGGCAGACACTTGCACTCATTGCTCCTTGGACTGAAGTTCTCTCCACTTCCTACCCACCTCCATCCACCCTGTCACCAGGCATCAAGCAACCAAGTTGGGGAATGTATCAGTCGGGGTTCTCCAGAGAAACAGCCAATAGAACGTGCAGAGAGAGAGAGAGTTATTGCCGGGACTTGCTCACGTGATCATGGAGGGTTAGTGCCCTTGGGCTGCCCTAGCCTGACACCATCGGCTGCGCGGCTTATACACAACAGAAATTTCTTTCGCACAATTCTGGAGTCTGGGAAGTCCCAGATCGAGATGCTGGCCGTTTTGGTGTCTGGTGAAGATTGCTTCCTGGTTCAGAGGTGGTGCCTCCTTGTGTCCTCACTCCGCACAAAGAACAACGGGGCTCTCTGGGGTCCCTTTTATAGCCTCTAATTCCATTCAACAGGGCTCCCCCTTCACAACCTTTTGTCTCACAGAGACCCCACGTCCACGTCCCATCACATTGGCGGTTAGGACTTCGATGTGAACATTTTGGTGGGACACAAACATTCGGTCTCTGGCAGGGACGGCCAGCAAGTCCCAAATCCACAAGGGAGGCTGCCGGGCTGGAGACCCAGGTGAGAGCTGGTGTGGCAGGTCACGTCCACAGGCTTTCTGCCGGCAGAGTTCTGTCCTGCTCAGGGGAGGTCAGTCTCCTCTTCTCTCCAGGCCTTCAGCTCATCGGAGGGCAACTCACTTTGCTCAAAGTCCAATGGTCTAAGTGTTGATTGCTAAAAAGCACCTTATAGAAACGTCCGGAATATTGTCTGACCACACAGCCGTATGCCGAGGCATAGCCTTAGTGACACATAAAACTAACCAGCACAGGAGCCTGTGAAGTAAAGGTAGCAAGCTGCTTCATCTCAGCTGTTGGAATCTAGGGAAGGAAAGACACCCTGGGGCAGGGGCTGGGGGCTGTGCGGGGACAGGAAGGCGTTGGGAGCTCCCCAAGCATGGTGGCGGTGATACCCCACTCTGATACACAAGGCTGTCTTTGCCCCAATTATGTCCCTTCCCACCTGCAGGTACTGGATCTAGGTACCCCACCTCCAAGCGCTAGACTCTTCAACCCATGTATCGTAAGAGCCGACCTCGGGGCACACTCTGTGCGGGGCATGGGGGTACCGGTGTGAACAGGGCAGGTTCCCCCATTTCTTTGCACAGCAACAGAAGGCAGGACACCCCTCCCTCTGAGCCATGGGACTCTGTCTCAGCACAGAAGAAATCACCAGTGCCGGTCTGGTCCCCTGCACAGGAGCATCTGCCGCTCAGAGAGGCAGTGCCTGGGCCCTGGCCATGCAGCAGGAAGGTGGGGATAGCACCCATGTCCTCCCCAGACAGTGTCCCCTTGGGCTTTGACCTCTTGAGAGTCCTCCAGTTTAATGTGGATGCTCTCCCAGTAGCCCCTGGAACTCCGCCACCCGCTCTGTCCTGCTGCTCAGGGTTCAAGTCATGCTGAAAGGATATATATGTGTTTTTCAAATCAGTAATTCCTGCATGCAATAAAAAGATACACTATCTTCCGAGGGAAATACAAAGAGTTCACAGCAGCCGTCTCCCCAGTTTGCATTTTCCGCTGCACCTGATGATGGCAAGGACAGATAAAGATAATGGGATTTTTTTTTTTCCTTTCTTTCTTCTTTCACCTCCCTCACTCCCTGGAAGGTGGAAGCATAA